ATCACTTTGGATGTAGAGCCATCTGATACGATTGATAATGTCAAGACCAAGATCCAAGACAAGGAAGGAATTCCTCCCGATCAGCAGCGTCTTATATTTGCTGGAAAGCAATTGGAGGATGGTCGTACTTTGAGCGACTATAACATCCAGAAGGAATCCACTCTTCATTTGGTGCTTCGTCTTCGTGGAGGGCTCTGAATGGTTCTTTCGTCTAGAAGGCACCGCTTCATCACTCTTGGAAATCATTCGGTAGGCTCGGTTTGCATTAAAGTCTAAATTTGATTTTCTAAACATTTCATCTATTACTTTTGTAGTATTCAAATAGCTCGCGTGGAGCTAAAAGAAGTCGGCACAACTTTTGATCTATTCGATGGAATCAGCCCAATCAACTGATGCTGCGAAGAGAAAACTGACAAGCAAACCAACACCAAGAGAGGCAATAGCGTAGTAGAATCCGTCGAATCGGAACAAAATCGGATCAACCAGGGAAAGTATTTCGACGATAAACCGAGCAACAGAGCTCAGTGTGCCACCAAAGCCCGCAATGACACTGACCAAAGCAATTCTCTCTCGAGGGCCTGGGTTTCCCGCAAGCAACGTTCCTAGAGTTCCAGATAAGGCACAGGCAGTAACGTTGCAAGCAAAGGTTCCTAGAGGAAAGCTGGGGCGCCATGAATTAAACTTCATCATTCTCCATCGCGCAAGCACTCCCAGTGGAGAAAAGAGCAGACTGAGTGCGAGCAGACGATCCTCCGTTTTTTTGAAGAAGGTAAGAGAAGTCAGCTGAGCCACGAGGCACATAATGAACAAAGCAGTGAATATCGCCCGAATCGATGGCACATCATTTTCTTCGTCGTGTACCGTCCTTCTTCCCTTTGTTCTGGTCATCCTTTGGGAGTGGCCAGCTGACGAAACGTCTGCGGAGTCGAACGAACCAGCTCGAAAAGACCGCGGAGAGCCTATCAAGTCGTCAGTTGGAGCTTCTTCGTCTAACGTTTGTACCTGAATTCCATACCCTCTTCGTTCGTCTCGTCCTTTTTCTCTTCGGCAACGCCAGACAAAAATATATACCGAAACGTGTTGGCCAAATCTATAAGCCACCATGGGCAGCTGGATCCCCAACACCAGCCCGACCAAGCCCTGGCCAATCTCGCCGGCCCGGAACAGATTCACCATGGACGAGATCCAAGACGAAAACGAGGATAAGGCCCCACATAGTCCATCTCGCAAGCCCAGAGTTAGATCTTCGCTCTTTTCTTGTGGCGAGGTACCAACATCCCAGCCATTAGCAAAGTTAACGCGGCCGATCATAGAAATGTTATTTGATACTCCAGTAGCTACGTTAGTGGCTACGTTCGAAATAATCTGATCTAGATCTGGATTTTCGTGCGTGCCGTAATCAACAATATTCCCCCCTTCTAGCTGCCCATACTGCCTAGCAGAGATGTGAACATTGCCACGTGCATGCATTCGACCTTGTTCAGGAGTGTCCCTGTTTTCTCTTGATAACCCATTCACGGTGTCGGTAGCAATGTGTTGGTTTCGTTTTTTACCAGTGGATTTCATTTCTGGAGTCTTATGCGGCAACTTCCTAGGTGGAGGCTTCCGTGGAGAGTGGTCAATTTCTTCTTCAAAAATCAAGTCATCAAAACCTCCCATGTCAGTGTTCCCGCTGTCACTGAATACTGCATCGCATCCACTGGTTTGATTTTCAAATTTAGGAGACAGCACAGTTCCCGATTCTTCTGTTTTTTCTTCTCCACCATAAAAGTTTCTTTCTCTTTCATAGCCCTCAGAGAAGTAGGTCTCGACGATGTCCACCTCCTCTTTCTTTACAGGAAAGAGTAGCAAACAAATGCTAGCTCGAATTCGACGTTCCCATGCCAATAGTTGAACTTCTCTGAGCTCGTTGTATATATCTGGATTTTGCGCATGCTTGTTCCGGTGTTGCTGCGAAAGGTTGCTCAAGCGATTGTTTCTCCTTCGATTCCGATTGGTCTTTCGCTTCGCGCGTCGCCGTTTCCGTCGCCGCCGCCAACCCTTGCGTTCCGTCTCAATCGTCGTCATTTCGATCATTTCCTCGTCGTCGTCGACGATTCTTTGGTCGTACGGTGACTCTCCGTCGTCCAGTGTCGTTTCCTGGCACTGCAGTATTGTTTCTCGATGCAAATCTCGTTGTAATCGGGGTGGCGTGAATCTGGTACCGATGATTTGCATCAGCGACTCCCCACTGCACAAGAGACCCATCACAAAGCAGGAAAGGCAGTTTAATGGCAAATTTGTAAAGAGAGCAGAATCGCTGTGGAAGACGTCGCTAAAGTTCTGAAAGAAGTACGCCGCACCCAGTCGACAGAGAATTCCGACCTGTGTGAAAATACTTAAAATCAAAATTTCATCGTAGGCCGTCCAGAATTTCTCGACCAAGGCCTTGTCCTGCCGTTCTTGTGTAGCATAATCCACATTTGAGGAATCGTTGATGCTAGAACCCGGTGAAACTAACGTCGACGGGTCCCTTGACGATGGTGGAGAAGTTACATGCCGTGGACTGAGTACATCTGATACGTCGTGTTCATCTTCAAATGTTTCCTTCTCCCTGGAACTGTCAAGTTTTGGAGTTCCACGGGAAGGCCGTAGTGGGATCTTTGGAATAGGTGAAACTTTTGTTTGTCCATTCATGTTCGATTGCACTCTGCGGCGTCCGGGACCTCGATCGTCAGTCGCCTTCCAACCACCATTCAAATTCTCGATTGGACCGGTCTCGATTGTTTGCAAAGGCGACTGTTTCGAAGGATAGAAGAAACTGCGAACCGGAGAGCTCGGTGGATTATCTTCTTCGGCCGATAATTCAGACATCGACTCTGGGATCTCCGCTTCGGCGTAGCTGGTGAACGAAACAGATGGTGAAGGCGTTGGTGAAAATCGCTTCGGTGTCTCCGCACGTTTTGTTGTAGGAATCCCCAACGCTGCACTCGACAGAGGCGAGGACTGCTGCAGCTTGGTTCTGCTTTCTTCTTGCTCATTCTGGGGTTTTGTTGCATTGGGTTCGCCATGGCCTGAGTCCTCCGACAGACAATCTTCGTCATTGTTGCAGGTTTCTGTCGTGGGAGAGGCTGGTGGCTGCAGATGATGCGAGGCTAAACCGGAGGCTATCCGTACAGCCTTGTCACCCTTGTTGCCATCCGCTTGCTCGCTTTCTATTGTTGACTCGGGCATGTTCTTCCCTCAGGAAAGAAATAACAATTTATCCATTCAGTTCAATTTGTAGAACAACCAATAACCTTGGATCATTATTTGTTACTTGTCCATCGATTGTTGATTCCAAAAGGAAAACATTCCATGTCTTCTTTGAACTCGTTACGAGCAGCTCGTAGGAGCGCATCGTACTCGTAGTAGTTTCCCACTGGAGAAAGCATGTCTCCTGTCTCCTGACTTTTAACCGATACGTTACGATACCATCTACGAATGCCGATACGTACGTACGGTAAGTACGGTTACGTACTGTACGTACCGTATGCCTGCTCGTACTTCGGTTGAGTCGACTCAATCGACCATCGACCGAATGGATACAGTAAATACGGTACTAAATACAGAAGTACGGTACAGTACGGTACTGTAATGTAATGACTCCTGTCTGTATCGCACTTCTGTACTACGCACCGGTACTCGTACTGGTACTTCTCTACTATTGAATGGAGGCGCAACAAATGATTGAATTTATTCATCCGTTAGTATCGATTTTCGATTTTTTTTTCGTCTCGTTGGCAGCATTTTCCAAAATAGCGTGACTCGAGCACAAATATGGTACTACACTGTACGGTCCTTACGGCGTGGTACCGTAGGAGGGTCAACCAGGCGACGAAATAGGTCTCGACAGTCGAACAAGGTCGGCCTCAAAGTTGCAACGACCGTTGCGCAGTTTCCGAAGCAGAGCATCTCAGACTAGATCGACGGATCAGTCTATCCATCGATCTATCGATCCGTAATATTTCGAGTGGTCACCCACCGGTTCTTCGACATGAGTAACCCGCAGCCTCTTCCCCTCTTCGATCTCTTTCTGGATCTCCCGCATCCCGCGGGAGCGGCATCTTGTCCCCCTCCGAACAGCTACGCGTGCCCAGCCACCAATCCAGAAGTCGAGAAGGAAATCGCAGCGAACATGTCTCGGATTGCTATGTTTGCCTTTCCCGAATTCGACGATACCCTGAACCAGCGCATACCGCGGGACAAAGCCCTGAACCGGTTTTCGCAGTACGCCATGCAACCCAAGGGCTTTCAAAACTACACCTTTTCGTTGCAACTGAAATCGGGGGTTCGGGTCCACGGATTTGTCCGTCGGTACTTGCCAATGCACCAGTTGGTTGAGCATAGATACGACGTGGGACGTCGAGGAGAACGTGCTCTCGTAATGCTGACAAGATTTAGCGGCGGCGATTTAATGTTTGCATCCGTTTTAAAGTGCGTATCGTGTGGTAATGCACTATCTAGTATCGGCATTCAAAACAGTTTTTGAAAAAGTCTTTCGACAGCGCCCTCACCTCGATGTATCATTTTCTTTTGTTTCGTTTTGTTTTTCTGCTTTGCTTCAGGACGATAGATACAATTTTGTGTCAGAAGGCGGCTCTCGATCCAAAATATGTCCACTCCGAGCCGCAGAAATTGTTCTTGAACCGAATTTATGAAGAACACCAAAAACTGTGCCACGCATTCTTGTCTACACCTCAACAGGAGCGACCGCTAATGGTGATGTCGATAGGGTCGGTCGAAGTGGGAAACAAACCGATCCGATTTCTCAACCAAGTAGACACATCCAATTTCCTAGTGCCTACCAGTCTGCTTGCAAAGGTTTCGAATGTAGAGGCAATGACGAGCTCCCCCATTCTACCGCTGCTTCGTGTGCTGGGTGTATCGAGTACTCTGAGACTTCTTTCGGCACTTCTCAGTGAAAACCGTGTTTTACTGATTTCGGCCAATCCAACCCGGTTGGCGCAGTGTGCAAGATCGGCCCTGTCTATTCTTGCCCAAGGCCTACTCAATTGGCAGCATCTATACATCCCGGTGTTGCCGCCACACTTGTTTCAATACCTGGGTGCACCCGTACCCTACTTAATCGGGATACTTTCGGCGTTCGTACCAAAGCTGAACGCAGACGGGCTCGGCGAGATGGTTATTATTAATCTGGATACCAACCAAATGGAGACCAGGGGCATGAATCCAATGGATGTCGCGAGAAAAGTCCCCGATTTATTCCAGAAGGCTGTCTCAGAGCAGGGAATGCCCGCATCTACGATGTCGGCATCGGAAATGCTCGCACAAGACTTGATTGATCTGCTGAAAGTGGACAAGCGGGCAATTTATGGCGAATCGACTCTCACCAATGTATCAGAAACTGCAGCGAAGGCAACAAAAGCAGTAAAATCTGGGTTCAACAAGTTGGCATCAAAAGGGAAAAAGTTTTTTAATACCCGAAAGGGTAGTTTACAAAGCATTGACTCGATCGGCAGCGTAGAGGAGGAGGTGGTCGAGACAAACACTCCTGAAGTTGATCTGAACACTATGTTGCCAGATGCTGTTTATGTTCAAGGCAGTCGCAATGAATTTGGAGAAGAGCAAGCCAAAATTGCGTTTGCTTCATTTTACCTTTCAATTTTCGGGAACATGCGATGGTATCTCTCTGCAATGCCCGGGAAGCTGCCCCATCTAGATAGAAAACGCTTCCTGCAACAGAAGAGGGCGATGGGTGGAGAATCTACGCCTATTTGGCCGCTTCTTCAGAATTTTTGTGAGTCTCAAATGCTTGAAGAGTTTGCAAAAGCCAGGGTTGACGAAGTGAGGCTACGAAAACCTGTGACTACCGATTCTCCCTTGTTTACCCAATGTGCCAATTACCATCGATTGAACAATATTGACTTCAGTGTGGTCAACGTTCGACGTGTAAGTCGGCAAGTTGCGGAGAGCAACCCTTCTCGGATGATTATGCAGGCATCGTTTCGAAGAACAGCCATGTTGATTACATCGAACAAGACATATGACGGAGACTACAACAAGGCAGTCGCGCATCTTGTAGAACAATGTAGGGAATCTGCTGCTGTTCTGTCCGATGTCATGTCGGTGATATGGGTGAGAATACGTGATTCGAAGGGGGTCCATTGGAAGCATGGTCTACAAGCATTGCAAGTGTTGAGAAATCTTCTCTATCACGGACCCTTGGCAGCCATTGCGGAAGCAACGGATGGATTGGACAAGATTCGTGCTATGAAATTCTATAACGATCACATGAGATCTCAAATTTGCACCCAGATCCGACAAGCTGCCCACCAAGTCTACAATCTTCTTGTTGATCGGGCCAAACTCTTCCACATTCGTCGGATCTGCGTGAAGAAGCGACTGCTTCTCAAACAGCCGGAGCAATCAAGAGTAAGTTTGTAACGAATTTTACTACATCCCATCTCTTTGTGTTTTTATTGTTTCTCTCACCCCTGTTTCACCCTGGTCATTCTTTTTAGTACATTAAAAACACGAGAATCTCCATCACACATCGATTTGGTGCTATGCACCAGCACTTCAATCCGAATGCTGCTCGTGTCGCACCTGCACCTCGTTCGGGACCTCTACCATCTACTGGAGATGACATTTTCGGATTGACGTCACCTTCCGCAGGAGGGATCCCAGCAGCGCCAAAGAGTGCAGATGTAGCGCAAGATATCGTAGGGTTGTTTAGCAATATCGATGTATCTAATCAGTCGAGTGGTGGAGCGTCTCCAGCGCCTGCTTCCCGAGCTCGCAATCCATTCGACCCGGCACCCACGCCAAATTCACAAATGTCGTCGCCCCCTCCCCAATCAGTTCCACGTCACCCAGGGGCTATTACGCCTCAACCATCTACTCCTCATTCCCAGAATTTATTTTCTCCGGTTTCCGCTGCCACTGCACAACCCTTATGTCAAGGTTCTCCTGCGCAACAAGTCCAACAACAAGCAACGAGGGCACCGATTCCGGGCCAACCCATAACGTATGGTTCTCCCTACCCACAGACTTCTACGCCGACGCATCATCAGAGACCTGCAGCTCCGCAGCAACAATACTACCAGCCTCAACCTCCAGGTCAGCACCCTCCGTCGGGTCCTCCCCAAAAGAGTGGATATGCCATGTCGTCGCCGCAACAGCAGCATCAATACAATCAAGCAGGAGGTTACAAATATGCCCCTGGACAACAACAGCACCAGCACTACCAACACCCACCATCGCAACAACAACAATATGCGACTCAACAAGCACCACCAGCCCAACCCCCAAAGCCAAACCTATCTCAGTTCGACCCTTTTCAATAAATAATTGTGTCAAAACAAGATGAATTACTAGTTTTCCTAGTGATCAGTAATAGTAGGATGCATTCCTTTTGTAGAATGGTGCATCTCGGGACACGTGTCTTACAAAAATAGAACAAAAACATGATTGGCATCGAATTTCATTTTTATGCTTCCAGTAAAGGTTTACAGTAACTCTCAGCAAGGTGCAATTTGGACGCACGAGTACTGCGAAGTACTACTAGTTATGTTGAGACAAATTACTCAGGTCACGGGAAAATGTGTTTCGTACGGTACGGTACGTACGGAATCGTTTTTGAAAAGGTAGTGAATTCTGCGTACGTACTCGTACTCGTTCCTACGTACTCTTAGTGTGAAATAGCCTGTGAAATAGTGGTAGGCTCCTTAGTGTCGTATGAATACGTGTTTACAATAAAGAGTGAGGTTATTCACTCACTAGCTACTCGTGATTGTGGTTTTAGTGTCTCTGTCTCACACTTAGTACTATTAACTTCACATACAACGTACATAGTACCGTACCAGGGGTCCTTAATTTATGACCCCTGCATCGCATCGTACAGTACTACCGTTCGGTCATGCTTTACAATGTACCGTACTGCACTGTACAAAACTCTACAAAAGGGGTTACAGCTACTTTACATTTACTATGGTTATACCATAATATAGTTATGTATACTACATACAAATAATACTCCACGTACGTGCATTCGCACTTCTTAAGCAAACGCCGTTCAGTACGAGTAAGACTCGTACAGTGCGGTACTCTGTAGGTTTCGAGTTCCACATGAGGAATTGAAATTTGAAATTTCCAGTTTGTGGCTCGTACGTAACAATCGACAGCGATCATCATCCAGGTTCGGTATCTTCTTCAGGCGTATTCGTATCGGTACAGTGCTTCATTGAATACTGATAACAACTATCTACTGGTAGCAATACATTTTACTTGAATAGACCAGAAAGAACGATGCAGATATATCTTTTCTTAATTGCTTGCTACCTGGGGTTTGTTGCGTCGTTTCGAACTAGCAGCGCTCCTTTGCGCAGTTCTTTCTCGCGCCTTTACGCCAACACAGGCCAGTCCTATCAGGCATCTCTCCCGTCGCCTTTGATTGACGCTCAAGGGAACGTAATCGAATCGGCTGAAGCTATTGCCGGTCTGGTAGAAGGTCAACGGGTAGCCCTCTACTTTGGTGCCAGCTGGTGCAAGGATTGTACAAACCTGGAATTTATGCTTGCGCAATACCGAAGTGCACTCGCCGATTCTAACCAGGTACGCTGTCCGTGATGTTTGGTTTTGAATCTTTTGTCTCCCATGCCCAACAAACAACTGAAATCTGATTCCGTTGCGTTCAATCTCTTCAGCCCATTCAATTAATCTATGTTCCTTGTGACCAAAGCCAAGAGGACCAACTAAGTCAGATGCAGAAGCTCGGATTGGAAGTTGGGGTGCCCCTGGGCGAAACAGCTGATGCCTTGAAACAGCAGTATGGAGTTTGGCCGGATGTGGACATTGAACGCTTCGGCGGTATTTCAAGAGAAATCGCTATCGAAGGCACAGAGACTATCGTGGCCGTGAAAGGCAGCGAGGGGGAGGAAGTTGCCACGGAAAGAGTAGAAATCATGGGGAAAGTGGAAGACACCAGGGACGAATATGGTCGTCGATCGGGCATTCCTTCCTTCGTCGTTCTGGATAATACCGGAGCAGAATTTTGTTTTCTTAATGCGGAGCGAGATAGCATCAGCGTCTTGGCGGATTGGCCGCTCGATGACCCTCAAAATATTTGGTAGACCGGAAGAATCAACTTGAAGAACGTTTATGTATCTTTTTACCGGGCGAGCGAAAGCATCTCTAAACCTCTACATCGGGTGACGCTACTAGTACATTGTCATAAACTCTGCATTTATATGTACAAGCTACGACATGCATGAATTTCGATTAAAAGTAATTTCTTCTGCATCCCTCTCGTAAACCTGAACATCGAACCTGGTTATTCGCAGCGTTCATAATTGAATGTAGATTTTATCGTCGTTTTCAAAAACCCCACTTTTTAAAATATTACGCAGCTCCCAAAATCCCTAGTGGACGTCCCAGGAGAACCATAGGCGTTGAATGGATGACATGGCACATTCGTAGTGTCGAATGAACACGACGGGTTTCTTTCGAACTTGAAGATGCACGGTTGTCACTCAATGCTTGCACTACGACACAATGGGGGGGGGGGATCCAGCTAGAAAAGCAGCGACGAAGGCGCCTTACCTCGCATCGCATCGCAAGGGATCGCACCCTGCCTTTCCTTCAAAAAAGTGTTCGATGCACACCAAAACAGGGTCTCGACTCAAATCAACCCCTACACCTTGCAAACGAGTTTCAACAACAACTTCGATGGCAGGCTGTGAGCTATGTAGAACCGCGGTACTTGGATTCGACGAAAGCGGCCGTTGCGTCCGTTTGGTGTTCCTCCCGCTTTCGGGCACGTGGGGGGATGGGGTTCGGGATGGCAGCCAGTCTCCTTCACGAACGATCTTCGGCCGATGGTGTAGGGAAAAAGGGGAGCTTCTTTGGCATTGGAGGAGAGAGGAGCGAAGAGCCGGACGGAGTCTGTAGAACATCTTCTCTGTGGTCTTGGTGCTGGTTTGCTTCCTCGCGGTCGCGGTCGCTCTCCCTGGTGCGTTCTAGTGGAGACGTTGGATGGGGCAACAACGCAGATGACGACGGGGATGACAGCTTCGACAGGGCCAGGGCCGAAAGTTCCGAGGCGGGAACCCCGTTCGCGTTCTTCAGGACACCGAGCGCGGCAGCGGCCTCCTTGACCAGAACCAGGGCTGAGATTTCCTCGTCCGTGGATCGAGTCGGGACCCACTCCAGGACGCCCTTGTCGGCGTCCTCCAAGAATCCCACCGCTTTCAGCAAGTCTTTGCCACCCACCAGGTCGTCCACCTTGCGAAAACTCTCGTTGGAAACAAAAATCTTTCGGTATCGCCGATTGTCCGGCTTTCCGGATAGATTGGCAAGGTAGAGATAGAGCAGCTGCGATCCCATTTTGAGGGTCGGTGGATTGTTCTTTTCTGCGACCCGGAGGACGCAATCTTTCAGCGACAAGGGAGGGTTCTCGTGTTCTGCTTTGCTCTCACCGGATGGTGTGGACGGAGTGGGTGGAATCGAAAGCGGCAACGGCTGCGGCAATGGCTGCTGGGTTGCCGTCGCGGTTCCTGGGTTCGTCACGCCACCGTCGGTGGTCTGCTCTTTGATTCGTTGGATGCAGCCTTCGAGCCTCGCGCGCAACCTGCAGGATTCCATTTTCCAGTCGCGCGCTTCGCCGTCGGGTGGGTCGCTGCCACCGGTTTCTTCCGTGGATTTCGCAATCGCGTCGCACAGCCTCGCCAGGTCGTCTTTTGTTTCGATCAACTCCTCCTTCAGCTCGGCCAAAAACACGGACCTGCTGGGTTCTGTGGCGTTGCTGGCAGTGTCTGTGGTGCTGGTGCTAGTACCGGTGCAGTCGCTCTTCGTGCTCTGTGCCTTGTTTTGCCGGAGCAATTCCATGGATAGATCGGTGACGGACGACGTGCTCGCTAGTTTGAGGAGGAGCTTTTCTTGCAGGGTCGAGTTGGAGTCGATCGACGACAGCAAAGCGTCCATTCGCTCCAAGAGATACCCTTCGTCGTAGCCGTCCTCTTCGTCGTCGTCGTTGTCCGAATATTCGGCGTCTCCGCATTCTTCGTCCTCGTAGCCGGCATCTCCGTACCCTTCCTCGTAGTCGTCGCCGCCGTCGTCGTCCACAACGCCGGGATTCCGCTGCGGCCGCGCGTCGGCTGCGGGTTCCTTCGCCGCGTGTTGTGGTGGAAGGCACGCCCCGGCGTTCGCTGCGGAAGGACCCCGGTCGGTGGGGCTCGCCGCCGCCGCCGAAGCCGCCGGGGGGGGGAGAAGCTCGAAGGTCCCCCCGTTGAGCCACCGCACCGCGGCGGCCCCCGCCACGCCCAGAAATCCCCCCACCGCCAGGAGGGACACGCCCCGGGCGACGGAAATCGAGCCGTCGCCGTCCTGTTCCGCCGCGACGGTGTGGTAGGGGTGGTGCAAAAACTGCTGTGGCGTCGAGTGTGACAGCGATTGGGCCTGGGCCTGGGCCTGGGCCTGGACCTGTGTGTGTGTGTGTGCATGCGTCTGCGTCTGAGTCTGTTCGTAGGGGTTGCTCCCGTGGTAATAGTCGTCGTAGTTCGAGTACGGACCTTCACCGGAGAAAGTGGCCGGGCCGCGGGCGTTCTCGTTCTCCCTTGCTCGGAACGACGGCCGCGGGTTGCGTTGGTGTTGGAAATCGCGTCGGCTGTGTGACCGCGAGTGCGAGCGCGAGTGCGAGTCCGAGTCCGGCGAACGGGCACGACCAGGGCCGGAAGGATTCCCGCCCCCGAGGGAAGCCGGAACAAATCCGTCGGGGTGATGGGGATCGCTTGAGCGGCTACTGCCGTTCGCTGCACCGGAACCCCTCCCGGCATTTCCCGCGGAGGAAGCCACGAGTTCTTCCCACACCCAGTGGATCTCGGCGTCCGTCAAGCCCTGTTGCTCGCGGAGGTACGCCTGTTTTTCCCTGGAGGAAACATCCCACAGCCCGGGGTGGTTCCAAAAGGCGAGTCCCTTGCGGATTTTTTCCCGGGAATCGGTGTCTTGCGGCGTTGTTGTTGTCGCTGCTGTTGTTGTTGCTGCTGCTGATACACCATCTTCATGTTGCTGTTGTGGTGGTAGTAGCGTTTCTCCTTGTGGGTTCGATTCGATGGCAGCTGAGTTGGTGGTGGTGGTCTCTTCCAATGGCCGGTGCTTCGGGGCTCCCACAACACCACGGTCCGGGAGATCCGCGCCGTTTCCGTCGGGAACATTTGGTGTACCCTCGCCCTGATACTCGGTATCTAGTGCTTCCACCATTCTTCCGGTGGGTTGGTTTGGAGTGTGTGCCAACCAACAAAGGCAAACGCAAACGCAAAGTCCCGGGGATCGGTTCGATGGTAGTAGAGAGCTGTTTAGTTCAGTTCGTATTCCTGTGTTGATTGTTGATGTTCGACTAAGTGGTTACAGTTATAATCATAATATAATACCATTATTATTAACCACGTGTCGCTTACGGGCAAGATTGGTACATGTGGTACATATGGTATGTGATACATACGTACCGCATTTACGTACAATACCGTACAATTCATTAGTGGTAATACCGTACAATTCATTAGTGGTATTGTATTCATTAGTGGTATTCATTAGTGGTATTGTACATGTGGTACATATGAATTCATTACTGGTATACCGTACAATTCATTAGTGGTATTTTATTCATTAGTAGTGGTATTCATTAGTGGTATTGTACATGTGGTACATATGAATAAATAGAATACAATGCAAGTGTTAAGGTTAATCCCCGGTACATGGGATGGCAATGATGTTGTTGAACCCCGGCAAGAAATAAATTTCTTATGACACTAAAGAGGATGTATACATTCGCAGGTTATGAGCCCAACGTACCCGTACGAGTGCGTTACAATTCACGTCGTAGTACTCTACTACCGTACGGTACAAAATTGTTGGGAGCCGCAGTCCAAAAATTTATTCTTTCTGTCTCTCTTTTAAAAACCGACCCTCTCGATCAAACGCCCTTCGGCAACAACCTCGTCGTACCGTAGCGGAAAGGCAGAGTGGATTCTGATGCACGCATTCTCATTCATTGCCGAAACACGAAACAGAAAGACTCGTGCAGTACGGTATGTACCGTACGGTTTCTCCCCCGACACAAGAACGAACCATCCCACACTGCACCGTCCAAACCCTGCCCCACCCCAACGCAACGCACGCAACGACAACGGCCCGAGACGCTTTGACCATGAGACCCGGTGTTGCGAGAAGCATCGCCAGACGAGCAGCGATTCCGAATCCCCGGGCGGCGATCCGGCCGAGAGGCCCGCTTCGGTCCCTTGCTACCACGAGCAAGAGCGAGAACGAAAGCGAAAGCGAAAACAGCGAGCCCTTCTACGGGAGCCCCCGGTCAACGACCGGCCCGCTCGGGATCGCGGACCGCATCGGGATCGCTCTCCGCAGCGCCACCACGGCCCTTTCTGATCCCACCCGCGCCGACGCCGTGGCCGCCCTGGGAGAGGTCACGGGGGATTTCACCCTGCGCAGGATCCGAGACCGCATGGAGGCCGATCCGACCGGCCGCAGGATCCTCCGGGAGCGGCCCGTGGTGACCAAGGCGACCATCCCCTACGAACGACTCGTCGCCGAGGCGCCCGATCGCTTCGGGGGAAACGGCGGCGAAGACGACGATGGCCTCACCTTTGGGCAGGTCTACGGTTCCTTCTTGAAAGAGCACGGGTTCGATCCAGACGAGAGGGACGACGTGAGGTTCGTCGAGGACGACACCCTGGCGTACGTCATGCTCCGGTACCGACAGGTATGTGCGTCGCAAAACCGACCGAAACCAGGCGTAAAGGTATCGGGACGACATGGTGTAGCACGGCATGGCATGGAGCAAACGATGATGCTGTTTCTCGGTGCAGTCTAGTCACGTACAATTATACCAATGGGTCCAAATCCGTCTCATTTTGCTTTGCTTGTTTCGATTTGGTTCGTTCGCCATCTCCTGCATTCTTCTGTTCCGCTCCATGCGAAAACAACCCACTGCCCGGTTGTCGCATCGACGCCAGAACCATGATTTCTTTCACGCCATCACGGGGCTTCCCCCGACGGTCCTGGGCGAGCTGGGACTGAAATGGCTCGAGCTCTTTCAAACGGGCCTCCCCGTTGCGGCGCTGTCTTGCACGGTGGGCTCCCTCCGGCTGGACCCGCGGGAACGGGACGTCCTGGCCAATTCCTATCTCCCCTGGGCCGCGAGCCACCGGGCAGCCGTGGCGACCCGCGGCGGCGGCCAGCACGTGGCGCAGCTGCCGCCGCCCTTCCTGATGAACGTCTACTACGAAAAAGAATTCGACACGCCCATCGGAGAGCTCCGGCGGAAACTCGGTCTGGCGCCCGCCCCGGCCCTCCGCGAATGAAGGAATGTAAGACGAAAGTTTCCACCGAGAGAGAGAAATCGCAGCGCATCGTTCCGGCACGAATCGCCTCGGATCGGCGCAGCGGTCTCGACCCCGGGCCCGACGGAAGAGGAAGGAAGATCTTTTGTGTACTGCACTGTAGATGCTCGGATTTCAAAATTTCGGCACGAGAATTTCTGTCACTCGAAAATCCAACAGCTTCGCTCTCTACGAAAGTATCCGGTAGACACTCCGAATCGACGAAAAAAGCCATACTCGGGCGTCCGCACACAAAATTGGTGCGTTCCGCGCCTTGTCATCCCGTGAGAGGGCACGCACTCCGCTCTCCTCCACATACAATTTCTCGCCATTAGTGAATAGTGCGAGTACGTACGCACTGCACTAGTACTCATGCAGTTCCACGGTGACGAAAAATTACCCGTGTCTCGACCGCCGTTCTCCAATACACTATTCACAAACCATGTGGAGCTCTACGTTCCCATACGAAACACAAAATTTCAGGTTTTTGAATAATATCCAGAAAGATGAAACTTCGAGAACGGGAGAAGAGTCCGAGACCACAAGGACGATTGTTTCCCCCTGGTCCGAGCATACGGTTGCGGCGCCCTTGTCTATTGTTCGCCCAACGGTAGGTCATAATTCCTGGATACAATCTCCTTCAATCATGATCTGTGGAAGTCCGCTCCAAGAAGGTCTCCCCAACAGCGTGGATCAAAGGGTCGTTGGCGAAAACAAGCTGAATCTATACCAGATGTATCCGTCCAGCAAAAGCAATTCCCTTTCAAAACCGGGGTTCGGCACGGAATTTGAACCCGTCGTTGACCCCGAATACAAAGAGAATGGCTCTGACGAGGACGAGGAAGAACAGAAGATGGTGAAGCTTCTAACCGAACATCCAAAGGGTCGAGACTGGAGTATCAAGCCATTCGAACCGACCCGCAAGAAGCAGAAATCAAGAAAAGATAGGCCGAAGCGGAGGGATCGTTTGGAGATAGAAATCGCCAAGCTGATTCTCAATCAAGCGCAGAACTTTGATATGCGAGATTTCAATGTAGATCGTGACAATGTCTGTGCATTATCGACGGGTGAGATCCTGCTGGACCTTGCCGAGAGCTCCGTTGGGACTCCATCTCCCTCGTCGATCGACCCAAGGAAAGATTCAGGTGACGAAAATGCGGTTCTCATGGAAGACATCGGAAAGGACAAGAGTGGGCCTCGGTCTCTAGGAAAAACGCATTCGAGGGCATCCGAATCCGATCTTTTCACTTTTAACACCAGTAGCGACGACGATGAATGGGCAGAGTTTGACGACAGTAGTATGATGAACATACCGCTTCTTCCATCATCTGAGCTCGACAAGGATGGCTTTCCCTTGATATTTGAATCCGAGGCTGGGAAAGAGTCATTCTCTAGGGGTGGTTTGGAATCCATTGACGATGCAGTCTCGTCCGACCTGGTGTTGAACAGCGAGGGGAGGAAAGAGAGCGAGAACCAACAGAAAGAGGGCTCTTGCAAGAACAGCATCGCGCGATCCGAATCCGAACCGAACCTGCCTTGTTTGATTGGGAATCCACATGGGACTCCCATTGAGTTTGAAATGCCTCAATCACCTTCTTCGGTAACCAACTTTACTGCTAGTGAACGAGACAGTCCTAGTCGCAAGGCTTTAGTGTTGCCCTTGAAAAGAGGCCAAACAAGCGGTCCTTCGATTGCCACCCAACGGCTGGCATGGAATCCAAAACCGCCAAAGCATTACACCAATGTTCATGGTGCCCACTAAAGTGTGGTAACAACGCTTGATGATGGAACGAGCAGACGTAGAAGGCCAAAAACGCCATTCGCATTTTTCAGGAGCAGCAGGGAAGACATCGTGATGTCTCGATCATTTACAGTTGCATGCGTTGGGTCTCGAAGGCAGTACAATTTCAGATTGCAGTTCATCGAAAGAGCAACTGCGCACATTTCGCATTTTGTTGATTATTGAGTAGCAGTTCGTAGTGTGCGAACCTAGATATCAAAGTTTATGTGTATTGTCCAAGCAACTTTCGAAGGAAATGCATTTGAACGTGCACGGTAGAAAGTTTCCACGTTCGTAGATCATAGATCGGTACCACCCGACTTTGCCATGTATTTGAATTCTTCAAGAGCTTGTTCTACATATCCCTCTGTAGCAGTGCAAAATTCATGTTTGTCATTGTCCTACTTCAAGTGACTGCCAATGTAATGCTCTCCTTCCATATCTACTAGTAGTAGCTTGAAAGGTTATTTGGCTCCAACATCATCAATTACTAGTACTAGTTGATTGATGTCTTCTTGTTTGATATTTTATCCCAAAATCATACCACAAGTGTAAATGTATTAGTGTGACATGAGTTCAATGTGTTTGTACAACCAGCCACCTGTTCCATGTGTTCCATCTGTGAAATCTATGATGTAGTCTCTGTCTTTCTGGTTAACTTCTACAACTTCACCTTGTTCTTTCTTGTATGTCCTGTCTCTGCTGGTCTTTGATGCCTACTCCAAAAAATAATGTCACAAAAATACTGCAAGGCCAGCAGATACTTCTCTGGCTCCTCCTGTCACTACTTCCCAAACACTTCAAACCACATTGACTCAATTTTTTAACCAGCAAAACCCAAATAATATGTATTTAATGGACCAAGCCTCCACAAGCCCTCCTTGGAGGTAGGTGCCTCCCCTCAGAGCAGCTGGTAGGAGCATTCTTCTCCCCTAAAGTCCTGTTTCTGGTCATCATAGTGCCTATTTTAGTTCACAAGGTTAAACATAACTTGAAGATTTTTTGTATGTCACCATGTCCTCCTTTTACCTCAGATGACACCAGTACTCATATTGCATTGTTTGATGGTTTGCATCTTAGCTGTTTGGTATGTGGTTGTAGTGTCTGTCAGGGGGGCTTACTACTAGTAGTAGGTTGATGGTAGTAGTTTCTGCATACATACTATGAGTTGATCCCAGCAATCTTTTGGGTATCCCTCATTGGTAGTACCACTCCTCGTGATGGATAGGGAGCCTTTATTGAATGTCTGGATGCTGGCATGTTCTATCTAGTTGATTTGATGTTGGTGGTATCAAGGGGATGATGCAAGAAATTGGTTCCACCACTAGTACTACTTGTTGTTGAGGAGTTTCTTGTTGTTTTTCTTTATGATGCTGGTGGTGGTGGTGGTTGAGGACGAGACAAGAAGAATGCTGAGCCTGTTTGCTGATACTCCATGATTGAGGTATACTAGTATATTGGCTTGGAGGCCAGCTTCAGAGAGTCTCTTGCAAGCAGTTTCGAAACAGGATGTCACATCCTTCGCACCGAGGGTCTCTAGTACTAGTACTTCAATCGACTAGTGTAGTAGTAGTAGTAGTCTAGTACTACTAGTAGTAGTAGTAGAAGTAGTAGAAAAAGAAATAGATTTGCATCTGGCTTTTTGGTGTGTCCTGTTCTCACTTTACGGCCCCCTGAACGCGACCTTTTCAGACAATTTTTGACGTCGCGTGGTCGCCTGCGAGCAGCGAGACCTCTAAAAAATTATGAACCGGTAGTAAACGCTGTATGAGAAGCACGAGTTAATCGTACTTACCTGTTACAGAGAGTCAGTATCTCAACAGACACAGCATCATCATTTCTGCCAAACTATTTCGAACATCGTACCACCAATTGGGCTTCTTTGCACGAGACTCGCACATCATCGAAATCTTTTCGTTCTAAATTAAGAAGAGGGAAGGGAGACAACTGAGACTCAATATCATCCTCATTCATTATGGCAGTAAGTATCGTTTGAATCAGTTTTCAATGCGTGTGTTGAATGCAACAAATAAGTGCCTGCGTGCTCGCGTGGTTGTTGTCGAATGAATCTCAATTTGGTTGGTGTTGAGAGAAAGGGTGGTAGATGGGGGCATCCAGCGAATAAATGGATGAAGCCTTCAAAAAGTGCGAATCGATCCCTATTTGGCATATTCCGACGTTTGGCAATGCCGACATGTAGGGAAGCATCTCCAAACACCATACGTGCTTTCACGACGATGATGATTCGACTTTTGTTGTGGCATTGGTGGACAGAAAAGCACAACTACTATCATCTCCAAAAGACCTTAGAGCATCCATACCATTCAATAAGTCGAGTTACCATTCGTCAAGGATGGAGAAAATGAACCTGAGCACCCAGAACAGAAGTGTCAATGTCATAACTTCTCGCCTTCGATCTGCTGCCGTTTCCAATGAAATGTTTCTTGGTCCAATAAGGAAACCCAAAAGACCTGTTGCAGCGAGATCTAATCCAGATTTACTAATCAAATGTTTCGCAACTTAAAAACGCTTTTTCCCGAAAAACAGCTCTCTCAAAATGATCGATCAAATGAATTGGAGATACTAAATTTGATAGGCGAAGGGAGTTTTGGAGCTGTGTATCGCGCCACACACAGGTCGACGGGGGCTGTGGTAGCTGTAAAAGTAATCGTCAATGCCAGTAGTTCCAAAAGTGAAGAGGAAAAAATAAAAGGGGAGATAGAGATTCTCAGCCGATGCGACTCTCCTTACATTGTTGGCTACTTCGAATGTTTCATAAAACCAGCTACATCGAAACCCGGCGAAATGTGGATCGTCATGGAGTATTGTGAAGGAGGTAGTATGACCGATATATTAGAGGCGAATGCTGGTTACTCACTACCTGAAGACTGTATTCGAGAGGTTTGCGCGTCTATTGTCTTGGGCTTGGAGTACCTTCACGGTGTAGCAAATGTTTGTCACAGAGATATCAAATGCGGCAACGTTTTATTGACCAGGTGAGTCCTATCCCTTCCTCTATTGGAGTAAACGCCACGAAGTGAACCCATTCTCACAATTGCCGATGCTTACAGTGACGGACATGTGAAGCTTGCTGATTTCGGAGTTTCGGCCGAATTGAGTAATACATTAAACAAACGAAAGACGGTTGTAGGATCTCCTTATTGGATGGCTCCCGAGGTCATTCGGGAGTCTCACTACGATGGTAGGGCAGATGTTTGGTCCCTTGGTATAACATGCATCGAAATGGCCGAGGGAGCACCACCCCATGCTAACTTGCACCCACTGCGAGCTATTTTTGTTATTCCGACGAAGCCAGCACCCACTCTAGCCGATCCAGACAATTGGTCACCCGATATGTTGGATTTTGTTAGAGCTTGCTGTCAGAAAGATGCTAGCCAGCGACGTGATTCTGCTTCGTTGGCAACTCAAGCATTTATCCGTAAAGATGTGATGGCACTTCGAGCAATGCATGCAGGGGAAGTACCAACGGTTGATGCCGATGCTAAGGCAAAATACAGGAAGCTTGCCGAATCCCAGAACTCAAAACCTGGGTTGCCTGCTCTTAGAAGAGTTATGGAGCGGATGAGGAAAAAACTGGATCGTGTGAAGAAAAAACGAGGGGAAGAAACCGCTAAGAACACAGAATCAAGGAACGATACAGGGAGTGCAATATCTCGAAATTCGAGTGCACCTCAAACTAACGGTCAATTGGGACCTCTGGATATGAGTAACCAAGCGACCCTTGCAATATCGTCGAGGAATGTCTCGGAATATAACACAGGAGATTCGCCGCTCCCTAACGGTAGTGGACCATCGCCTGCTGGAATTTTTACTCCTGATACTTTGAATTATGGCCTTTCGTCTGCTATGGATTTTGACCCGAAGTTACTCGAGGACAATAAATTTCGGAAGGATATTGAGAAACTCTCGCGAGTCTTTGAAACAAAGCTAGCTGCTTTGCGTACAGCGCACGAATTCGCACAACACAAACTTGTTGCCGAAGCCCAAATACGAAATAATATTCCAATTGATGTGATGGCCTTGATGGAACAGGCGCACAGGGGAAATGCCAAGGACGATGAGAGCCGCAAAGCCCTAGACGACGCCAAAGACATAGGGATGATAAAAGAAGTTGTTCAAATGAAGAATCAGATGAAGTCCAATCGGAACACAAGTTCGGAAAGGGTCTTGTTAATGGATCAATCGATATGAAAAATTCTAAATAATAAATTGAAAGGAAAGCTTTCAAGACACGAAATGAATTGCCTGCAAAAATCTTTGAGTACACCACTTTTCGTTTCGTTGAAAAGTACATCTGGCAGCGAGTTAAATTGCGTGATTGGCAACTGTCATCAGATGGATACAATGAGATAGAAATGTTTTTTCGCCGTGAGGAACTAAGTACGGTGAGAATAAGCAGTCGTCCCAGCAATGATTGATTCTCACAAGTACAAATTTATGGAAATATGCTCTAGCGTGCGCTAAGATGTTCCTTTGATTTTACGAAGCTCTATTGGAGCAAACTATTCTGTTGGAAGAATGAATTGATGAAAACAATTATGATAATAATTATTACATTTCACCGCATTCGTACTAAAACTTTGTACCAACAGTGACCCCTACAGGAGTATAGTATGATATAATATCTGGGAACCTTAGCTTATCGTTCCAGTAAATTTTTTGCAAAGAAGTTGTCAGTAGTATTCTTAAGTTTCTGACCATTTTCAAACGAACACATTCTGCTGCCACACTCATTTATGACATCATTGTGATTGTGTATCATCAAAGTGTTTGCTTTCCAATTGCTTGAGTCTCCAATGAAGTATTCTTTGGAGGATTCAAATATCTTCATTGGGTAATCATTCTGTTCTAAAATGGGAAAATTTAGAGTATGAATTTATTGTCTACTAGAGCTCTCTCCTGTAGAATAAGACACAGCAAAAGGAACAGCAAAAGATGTAGCAAAAGAAGCAAACCCAGTGCACCCAGCAACTCAAAACACCAGACTTCCTTGTTGGAGACCTCCATAAGGACGTATATTGATATACAAACAGCTCCTGAGACTTGATGAAGCAACCAGACCATACGCATTTTAGAAACTATACAAAGATTAAGAAGCCAATGCAACCTGCAAATCTGCTTGTTTATGAAGGCCCACTCTTGGAGAAAAGCTAGCAATTATCAAGGGCAATCTTGAAATGAAGTGGCACTCAGCAGCAAAGGCAAAGGAAGCGGCAAAGACAACCAAGGGCATCAATCCAGGGATTGGTAGTTGGAATAGGTCTATACCTCCCCCTCAAGCTAAAAATCCTCCCCACCCTGATGTGCTCTCTGACCTTTCCCCTCAAGTGCAGTTCATCCTTAATCAATACTGGAAAAGGATTGAGGACTGGGGTGGGAATAACAAACTGACTCAAATTCACAAGGAACTGAACGAGACCTGTGCTAGATATGAGAAGAAAACCTGTCCCAAGAAAAGAGACCTTTCCAAGGCTATTGAGCTAACGAGGATTGCAAAGCTCCTGCTGCCTCTGTAAATGAAGAAGAGCCACATTTGCCAGTGGTTTGATGAGGGTATCTATAGGAATGCAATGAGGAGGAGGGAAAGCAGCTATAGTCCTCCTTGTACATACTGTGCTATAAATTTTGCCTTTGATGAATGGGAAACTCAGCCTGATCATTACTCCTGCACCTCAGGTAATTACTCCATTCCCAGTGAAGACCAAGCTTATGCATCAAAGGAATATCATTATGAGATCTTGACCAAGAAGATCTACCTTTGCCAGCATACTATGTCCTAAGCAAGGAACAAGAACCAAAGAGTATGGTTACAATTCAGCAACCATACTCATACCAGTAAGAAGCAAATACATATCTGAATCTGGAGGAGGACACCACAGCAAAGGAGAACAAGCAACTGATTCCCAATTACCAACCAACAAAGGATCTCTACAAAAAAGTAGTAGGAGGTAGTAATAGGAGTAGTAGAACAATTTATATTTAGGTATCCCTGGAGATAGTAACAGTAAACCAATTCATAATGAGAATTTATCCTATGATTGAGATGGTAAGAACCCAGTGATAGGTGCTGGGATTGGGGTTTGGATCCCTGCTTGTTTGCTCTTTTGGAAAGACTCCCTGGAGTGAAGCACTGCCCCTTGGGGTGACTAGTAGTTACATTCTTCCCCCCTTGGGTGATGGAATGGCTCTGGCCATATAGTGCCTCTTCTAGTCCACATGGTAAAATAGAATATGAAGATTTTTTCATATCCAGGTTGCCCTTCCTTTCCATGGGGGGAGCATATATTTTCTTGTACAGTGGTGCATCCTTGCAAATTGATTGTTAGGATTTTCAACTTACAATCCCAACCATAATAATGAAATTTTCACCCAATCTTCTCGTATTCTTGAATCAGTAGTAGGTTGTCAACCAGCATACTCTTTAGCTCCATCCACAGGCTTGCAATAGAGTTGTTGCTGGTAGTGTTGCTGTATATAATGTTGCTAGTGATAGTGTCTAGCATGTATAGTATTGGAAGGGGGGAGGATCCTCAATCAGTTGATGATAGCCAGCATTGCCAATAGGTGTTGTCATTGTTGATGTTGTTGATAGTATCAATACTGTTCTTGCTGATAGTAGGAACGTTGCTGGTATACTGTTGCCAATGTAGGAGCACCTGGTACTGATATCAACTGGGTGTAGAATGATCTGTGGACTGTTGGAGGCCAAAGAGTGTCCACTAGTATTGTGATCACTAAGTGCTCCTGAACCAATGGTTACATAATGCTGCTGGTGAGGACAAATTTTTGTCCAACATTGACAAACATCTACCTAGCTACTAGCAATTCAATAGTGGTGCAGCATTTGATAACAGGTCAAGAGATTCTTGCAGAATAGGGTTTCCAGTGCAACAACTGTCACCATGACAAGAATTCCATAGAAAAAATGGTTTTCCTTTCGGCTTCAATTTTTGGATTTCTCTTTTTTATGACTACTTAATCACCTGAATGCAGCGGCTCTGGCCAACGTAGTGCCTCTTCTAGTTCATGAGGTTAAAAATAAGTTTAACTTTTTTAACAAGACATTGATTGAAGATTGCTACTACCAAATCTTCTTGGCCATGCCTATTTGGAGGAGGTCCTGACCTTTGAAGTGGCTAGTAGGATTTATTTCCATGGATGAGTGATGGTTCATGCCAAGACCAGCAGTACCGATCCTAGTTTTTGAGGTTAAATATAACATAGTATTTTTAGTACTGCCAGAGCTTGCTAGATTGGTTAATATAAATTCTTATGTGCAATCTCCTCAACAGTAGAACTAGTGCCTGAATGCCCAATGACTACTAGAACCAGAGGCAAGGTGAAAGCTAGAATTATCACTTCTTCTTGCTGGGAGAAGGTTGCATCTACTACTTGCTGTGAGGGACAGCACTCCTGGAGGAGCATGACTGGTATGGTACTCACAGATATACTACTAAGGTGTGCTAGAATTATTTAAAGTATTGTAATGCCAAGAGGAAAGGAAGTCAACTGGTATGATATCAGTGGAGGATATGGATACTGCCTTCCTAGTAGGACAAACAGAGACAGCATAAGTCATGAAATTGATAATTCCATTGTTTGAGAACTGAAGCACCAGTGTGAAGGATTATGTCATTTGAAATCTTTCTGACAAGGAAATCCCTACCAAGGCAACAGATAGCAATAATGAGACACTTGCAAGCTATAACCTTGAGGGCATTGCTTATCCACTTCATGATACTAACATTAGGACCACTGATGTTACAATAAACATGTTCTAACAAACATCACACCATCCTTGACAAGCACAGTTAGCAATATTACTTGTATGTTTCTCAGCATAATTCTTTCCTGAGCACCATCAACAGTGGATCACAACAAAAGTCCCTGCAATCTGTTTGCCCTCAAACCACAGATGAATCCATCTCACACTCACTTATTTCCAAAGGATATGGAAGCATTCACATCTGATGCACCTACTTCCTTGCTCTTGTATTACCTCCAAGTCTACAAGAACACTATTTATGAGAGCATCCACAAAGCATCTCTGACGTCTGCTTCCAACAAGCAAGAACCTATCACTCAGAACTTTTCAACCTTGCTTCAAAGTAAACAACCACTGGAGAGTGTCACACAAGATGGGCTGGTCTTTGACACTTACTCCAAGAAGAAACAACACAAAAATCCGGATTTGCCAGAGACTCCTCTGGCCTCCTGTTACAAACCAGACCAACCAAAATACCATGACACAATTTTTCACATAACCATCTAACCAGCCCAACAACAAGAACAAGAACCCTGGTCACTCCTCCACAACCACTCCTTGGAGGGAGGCACTGCCCCTCATAGGAGGAGCGGCTAGGAGCATTCTTCTCGCCCAGCATTATGGTTCTGGCCATGTAATGCCCCTTCTAGTAGTTCACAAGGCTTAATATAATATTGAGATTTTGACTGTGGTTTGCATACTAACATCCAAAGTGTGGGAGAAAACCACTGAAACCACCTAAAGTACCAATTAATATTACCAACACAAGAACTGTTCAAAAACTACAGGATAGATCCTTTGAAAATGTGTTGGTTTCCTCAACCTCCTGGTCTTATAGAAGAAGAAGAAGAAGAAGAAGAAGAAGCAATCATTGGATTTATGTAGTTCTTGTGCTGCTTTGAAGAGTTAGTAGTAGTAGTTGAACTTTCAGTGATGGTCACCTGTTTGTGACCAGAATAGCGCCTCTCTTCACAAAAAACAACACTGCCAACAACAACATGTTGTGCTGCTTTGAAGAGCTAGTAGTAGTAGTTGAACTTCCAGTGATGGTGGCCTGTTTGTGACCACCAGAATACTAGCGCCTCTCTTCACAAAAAACAACACTGCCAACAACAACATTCAACATAGACAATAGATCAATTGATTCCATTCCTATTTTAGAAACAACAAACAGCCACAGTTGTTTTCTTTATTCACCTTCTTGAAGTTCTTAATTTTTCCAGCTATGCACTCACTTTTTTGCAGCGTACAGGTAGTAACTGCCTGCGTTAGCCAACTTTGTACGGTTCGTATCGTACGTACCGTAGGATACGTACGTACCCAACGGAATGAATCATTTGGTTCGTTGATTTTGCGCCAAGTGTCATGCATCGATTAGATATTTTTAACGTAGTGAGATTGTGAGATACTGGTACGTACGTTACTTGCACTTGTACAACGGAAACACGAAGGACGGAACCCAAACTAAAACAATCCAGACGATTCAAAGTTGATCAGGGTAATACAAGTAATCACTACTTGGGCTCTTTCTCTGTCCTCAAATGTCGAGAATGCAGTCGAAAAGCAAGCCGATAATGACAGTGATAACGATAGCTTTTGCTCTTCTTCTGAACGTCGGAAACACTGTAGCGACGCTAGGATCTTCGCCAGGTGAAATCGTCGGTCTGTCCGTATCTGAAACCTTCCCTTCACCCAGAAAGTTGCTATCACGACGAGATGTAATTGGTGAAGTAATGAACATGCGGGGTGGGCAGCAAGGGGGGGAATCATATCAACAATCAGAGTATCCCTACCAGCAACCTCAATACTATCCCCCCGGTGCCAACAACGGCGACTCCAATGGCTACGAGAACGGCTTTGCCAATTACGATCCGCAATCAGCATCCGGTGATCTTTACGAGAGAGAGCCGGGCATGTTCGAAGAGTCGGTCCAAGATCGACACGATAAATGGCGGTCGTCTCAAATGGAGAAATACGCCAATCTAACACCAGAACAAGAATTGAACCCTCGGGACGAACAGGGCCGGATGAAGCTGCTGAGTTCTGTGTCCAAAGGAAGCAGGGCATTGATATTCTTCGTTCTTATGTGGAGAGACATTTATCTGTTCGAAGTGACGGATCAATCCATCAAAGGCTCGCTGCGTAAGATGATCTCACGCGGTTTTCTGACAACAGTATTTTTGGGCAATCTGGCAGGGGTCGTCACGTCCGTCACATCACAAGGGCACTCCGCAAAGAACCGCTTGAAGGCTATTTTGAATCTCGACAAGGTAGTAGAGACTACGCTTTTACTGTGGAACCTCGGAAGGATCACTCTATTCCCTTCAAAGTACATTGAAAGAGAAATCTTCGTTGCTGGCATTCTTCACTCTGTATTTTTCCTAATACAGTGTCAAGCATTCACTCGGGTCACTTGGGACGAGAACGTAGCTCCAGTGCTTCAACAAAAAGCTCAACACCAACAGCAAAACAATCAACATGCATACGGCCAGCCATATACCACTGTTCGATAAGTCGGGTGAGTTGGAATCCTTGACCATCACCTACGGAATGCACGGTGCTTGATCATTACGTGCTAACTACTTTTCAACAATAGCAAACCTGCTGTTTCATATCCATATTCTCTACAGTACTTTAGTGTGAAATTTCTTAATTTTGAATCACCAACAAAACTACACCATGGTACACGTATTCTATAATACCAATAGCTATGAAATGATTAGTACTCCAATCTCCATTCCAAAGCGAAACCACAATTGTTTTCTTACTTATCGACTCCGGCAGCCTGCAGTGCGGTAAATACAGCGGTATTGACGATATCCTCGACGGTTGCACCGCGGCTTAAATCATTGACAGGCTTCTTCAATCCCTGGAGGACTGGCCCAACTGCAATCGTCTTGGATGCTTGCTGGACGGCCTTGTATCCATTATTTCCGGCGTTAAGGTCAGGGAAGATCAAACTGAAAAACGAAGCAGATCGAATGAGACGAACGAAAAAAAAGTTTGAATTATTGTGTATCAGAAACGATTTAGGTGGTACAAGTCAACAGGAAGACAAATTCTGTCGGAAACAATTGCACTCACCAGTTGGCTCTTCCAGCAACGAGGCTATCTTTAGCCTTAACTGCAGCAACGGCGGGATCTACAGCAGCGTCAAACTGCAGCGGGCCTTCAATCAATGCCGGGTCCATGAATCCTTCCTCTTCGGCTGCTTTCTTTGCCATTGCCGTAGCGTCAACAACCTTGTCGATCAGGTGTCCAGAATTTGAGTCTCCGGTAGCATAGCTTAAAAGTGCGACTCGAGGTTCGATACCAAACTGAATCGATGTCTTTGCCGAGGAGATCGCAATTTCTGCTAGCTGCTCGGCGTTCGGAGCAACGTTGATTGCGCAATCGCCAAACACTTTAACTCCATCTTCAAGTAGCATAAAAAATATTGAAGATACAACCGATGCGCCCGGTGCTGTTTTCAATATCTGCAGAGCGGGTCGAATTGTATTCGCCGAGCTGTGCATCGCTCCGGATACCATTCCATCAGCCAAACCCATGTGCATCATTAGTGTGCCAAAGTAATTCACGTCTTCAAGCAAATATTTTTCTGCCTCCAAGGGCGTGAGGCCTTTCGATTTCCTGGCTTCAACAAAAGAACCGATCATATCTTGTAAACCATCAAAGTTTTTGGGGTCGCAAATAGTAACACCATCTAAAGAAACACGAAGTTTCTTTGCATTTCTATTGATAACTTCAGGATCTCCAATCAGAATGACATTGCATAGCTTTCGCTTCGTTAGAATTGAAGCTGCCTCGACGACACGGGGGTCAGCACCCTCTGGCAACACAATATTTTTTTGCAATTGCCGAGCTCTGAGGAATGCTGAGTACTGAAACAATCTTGGTCCAATATCTCTTCGGGTTTCCAAATGATCCTCGCTCTCAAAGCGATCAAGCAAACTGTAATCCAAATTTTCTGTCACCAAAGTAATGGCTTGATCGAGCTTTTCCCGACTTCGTGCAGTGACAAATGCCGGTGTGTCTTCGATTTTGGTGGCCGCTTCGAAAGTATCAGCTGAGGTTGCAATCACGGGCAACCGAATGTCACGAAGACCATTCAACACCGAGATAACAGATGGGTCCATATCTCCTAGCTTGTGATAGGTACACAGAATGCCAGCCAAGTTTGGTGCATTCGACGATTGCGCTGCTAAGAGAAGAGACATCAGAACATCAACGCGTTTATGGGAGACAACCGCTAGTTGATCTTCTTTCAATTCAGTTATCAGATCACCAACCTGCATAGTGTGAATCCATATTTTATCAATGGAACTATCGAGATATTTCTCTCCATAAAGGCAGATGCCATTATCCAATGACTCCAATACTTCTCGAACTGTTCTTCTCGAGAGGATTTCCGATCGGGGAATGAGTGCCAGAGGATTCAGATTGTGGTTCACTAGATCTTTTCGTTCTGCCTCTAGGTCTTCTACATCTGAAACCACTACTCCAAGGCATTCCGACCCATGACTTTGGAATGCAGTTTGAGCAATACCCAAACTTTGGCTGTGGCTTGCATCACCCATAAAAATCGCCGGAATGTTGAATGTAGAGCAAAGTTTCGCTGCCCAATGTAACGAATCATCGCTTTCGGTGTAGGTACTGACCATAACAAAATCATTTGTAGATGAATACTCGAGATATTTTTTAATGATGAATTCCACAAGTTCATCTTCTCGGTTTTCTGCAAGCATTTGCAAAGCTTCATCTTCGGTTACACCATACATAGTGGATTCAGGAGTGCTCAACTGAAAATGCTCTTTCATCAACTGAATACGATAGTCATCGGCACCGGAGCGCTTCGCTATCGGGCGAAAGTAACCAATTTTATCAACACTTGCAGCAAAGATGCTCATCAAACCAATTTCTCCGAATGCGGTGTATGTACTACCCAAAGAGTGGCAGAACAGGTTGGTTTTCACTTCGCTTAATTTTGGCAACGAATCGATGGCTTTGACCTTTGGTTTTGGTAAAACAAGGTTAGATGACTGCATGGCAATACTGATTTCTTCATCAGTAGGAACAACGAGAACTTCTACCGTTGAAAAGGACCGAGAAATGCTCATGCTACCATTTGGACTGATGGCGTTCTTATTTTTTGCAGGGTCTACTCCAATTTGGAGATTTTCATTTAGCCCTTCTAGAATGGACTGTCTAATTTCTGCATCGCCCTCTCCAATACCCCCTGTGAAGACGATGGCATCAATATCACCGCCTAGCTTTACAAAGTAACTTCCAAGATACTTACGGCTATGAAAGATATAAAACATTGAGAGGTACTGTCAATCACTATAAATATACATATACAGGCCAGCATCTGTTGACTTCAAACTCACCAGCGTTCAGCAAAAACTTCCCGTGCCAACCTGCAATCACTGTCCCCTTTCAATGCATTCTTTTTTATAACTCGCATGTCAGAAGTATCACCAGCCAAACCTAGTAGTCCAGATTTCTTATTGAGAGTCTCGTAGACTTCATCTTTGGTGTAACCGTTCTTCAACATGTAGTCATAAATTCCTAGATCTGTATCTCCAGATCGCGTCGCCATTACTAGGCCTTCGAGTGGTGTTAAACCCATGGTTGTATCAATTGATTTACCATTCTTGATGCAGCACATACTTGCTCCACCGCCCAAATGCATCACAATCAGATTAAGGTCATCAGAATTCTTCCCAAGGTATTTCGCTGTTGTTTCCATCACATATTGATAGCTTGTTCCATGAAATCCATACTTTCTAATACCATAATCTTCGTACAATTTTTTCGGAATTGCATATCGGTATGATGAAGGGGGCATCGTAGCATGGAATGCTGTGTCAAATACAGCAACTTGGGTTGCTAATGGAAATGATTCTCTTGATGCTTCTATTCCAGCGGCAGCGGCTGGGTTGTGAAGGGGAGCTAGCGGAATCAGCTGTTTGATTTCTTCCAATTCGCCATTTCCAATGATGGTTGGTTTTGAGAAACTCGATCCGCCGTGGACAACTCTGTGACCTACGCATTCGATTTCGTTGGTACAAATGTTTTCTTTTTTTTGCAAAATATCCAACAGCATCCGAAAACCATCGGTGTGGGAGGGTATGGGCTCACCTTGGAAAACAATCGAACTGTTGTGGGTAATTGTCCCGTTCTCGCATGTTCCGACCTTATCAACCAAGCCCGAGCATACAAGTTCGGCATCTAGTGTACATGCTTCGGATTTTCGATTTACATCGTAAAGTGAATATTTTAGCGTCGTTGAACCGGAATTCACTGTGAGCGTTTTGATACCTCTCGCCGACACCCGTCGATCTAAAGAGACGCTGTTTCGAAGCTTTTGGAGAGTCCTCGTGGATAGAGCCCTCGATGCATTTCGAAGAGCCGAAGAAACATGTATCATGTTGTGGCAACAGTTCGCAACGCATATGGTTGATAGGTCAAAACAAGATTTCAGTTTTCCACTGCATTGACTATGAAAAAGAGCCACTCGGGTTTGAACTGAAAAAAATACTACGGTCTGTAAAAAATAGAATCCTTTTCATTGCTGGGAAATACGACCCAATATGAGGTCTCGCATACTGAAAGGGGAAACAGAGACATCGAACGTTCCTTGCACGGCACCTATTAGAGAGTGTGCAGAACACACGTCTGGGTTCAACACCAGTCGTGCTCTCAGATCGGGCAATACAGCACCACGTCACAACACATTAATACGCGTTGTGGATCAATTGAAACTACGTTTCGTTGCCAATTTTAATTTAAGATACAGTAGCGAGTGTTAGAAATAACGTGCCAAAAAATGTTATTTTACTAGGTGAAAAATAACAATTGAAACTTCGTTAATTGAGGCATTGGGAACGTTAAAGGGTGAAATTACATTAATTGAGGCATTGGGAATGTTTGATTTAACATTCCGAATGTTAATTTAACGTTCAGAATGTTTCATTTATGAGGTAGGCTCGTAGATCCTAGTCTAGTATTCAATTAATTGGCATTCTCCAATGTACTAGTAGCGCTACCTACCAAACAAACCAATTATTTGGGTCTTGCACATACCTTAAAAACAAGGAAGAAGGACGTCCTTTCCTGCTAATATTCAGACTGCTAAGCAAAGTATTCAGGACGTCAAATTGAAGCAAAAAACACAGTACTCATTTCCTTTCTTGGCAGCAGCGAGATTTGCCAAGAGGGCCAAGAAGTATTTGATTGGCGTGAAGGCAGACATTGGACTGGTATGAGTACCGTACCTCCTGTACTGGTTCAATTACAGTAGATCTTGTTCTCCAAAAGAGCTTGAAAAGTTGTTTTGACTAGGCTCTTCTCAGCTGGTGCTGTAGTGTAGACCACAACAGGATCATGATAGAGAATCTCAAGCATTTTCTTGAGCATTTATTCCACCAAACTTTTGGACATGATCAGCAGCAGTAAGAAATTGATGACTGTGTCAATGTGATGCTGTTGTGGGGAAACTTCTTCATTCCAGAAGAAAAGGTGTTGTTGTTCCACAACCAAGCAACAAGAACTGTCAGCAACATTGTTGTATCACATGACACAAAGCAGTATTCAACACTTGAGAAATATGATTTGGTACTGAAATCAGCAGACATATTGTTTCCTGGTAGTAGTACTACTAGTACTACCACCAGTAGTACTTCAGTACTTTTAAATTTATCATTGCTGCCAAAAGGGTCAACAACATTCTGGAAGAAGCATCCTCCTGTTGTAATCAAGTTGGATGTTCCCATAATATATTTTTGTATTCCTCTTGTAGTATGACCTTCTGCTACAACCTTCTGCTACTGAAAGTGCAACTTTGTTAGCAATGTTATCTTCTTTTTTGTTTGCATCACATGAGAGGTATGTAGCAGGAAGCAGCAGATCACAAATCTTCTTGTTGTTGTGTTATTCCAGGAGATCAAATGAGCTTCTTTCTTGATGCTGTCTGTGAGAAAGTGCACAAGAAAACATCATCACAAAGCACTAGCTCTAGTCAGCAAAAATACTGATATATTTCACAATACTTTCAGCACAGCAGCTTGTATATTGTCTGGGCATAAAGACAGCAATCATGATATGTCGGTATTCTCACCAGATGGGGTGATTGCCCAGGCCAGAACAACCATTGGATCATATCATGGAGATCTCTCCGATTATGTACTATTGATTGTTCTTTATCATGGAAAGAAACACCAAGTATGATGGCTGGGCATGGTCAATATTCAAAACAAAAAATTACAACAAGGAAATAGTGTTGCTGTGAAGAAGGCCTGTTGAATCTGGTAGGCTCAATTTTGCTAAGGAATGAAGTCACTGGAATAGTAGTGTGTGATTGAAGCCCTTGCATGATGTTTTGTTCTGTACTGTAGCATTGGATTATATTATTTTCTTTAAAGATAGGATTTCAATCTTGAACTTTAGAAATACCAAATCAGTACAACATTCCTGCACAACCTTCTGTGGATTTAGAAATAATAAATTTTGGAAATAAGTTGCAAGGAAGAGGATTTGACTTGTATGATCACCAAAATAAAGAATACAGAGGACAAAAGTGGAATTCTTGGCCCAATGAACAAAAGAAATAAAAGACAAAAGTAGAGTTTTTGCAAACACTAGAACTGATGTCAAATCATGGTACCATTACCAATTGACTGAGGTATCTTGCAATGCTTAAGTTCCAGTTCCTTTTGATTGGTGGTTGAAATGATGATAGGCGCATGTGGGGAAAGATAGCTTAAAAAATCAGCTAAATTTCCACAGTTCCTTACAGCAAAGTTAAAATGGTCTAAGAATACAAGAGAGGAACACAATTGCCCAAAACAGATACTGCTTGGTTATATGGACCATCGATCTTGTGTGGTGCTGGGGCCTGCTCTATTCCTTCAAAAGTGGTGCAAAGATGGTGACAGAGCAGCAAGCCTATGGCTATTCACTGAAGGAATTACAGATAGGAGGTCTTGAGCAAGGGATATTGAGAAAGAGGTGAATAAAGGAAAGAATGCTTACTCTAGATTCATTACTACTAAGCACTATGTGTTTGATAATGAAGCCTTTGTTGCTGAAAGACCAGTGTCAGAAGGCAAGCTGGGCACTCATTCCTTTCAGAAGTTCACCACAACTTAGTATGCAAGACAGTGTGGTGGAAGCAGGGATGATGTCAATTATAGAGCTAGTAGATTGAAGTCTAGAAGGCAACAGGATCAATACACTGGCACCCAGCTTGCTTGGCCAGATATTAACATTGCATCAAAGCTTTTTTTCAAAGGAATCTGTCTGTACAAGCCACTGCATCATGGAAGGACCGGAATCACTGATGAGTGGCTTGCTTCTTCTGTAGCCCCTATTTTTTAATAGGAAAGGCTTTGCTATGGGCCTGTTTTTGAGCCAGCAATACAAGGATTGGTTCCTGAGGATATAAAGAGTGATGTTGTTGCTTCTTGGATTCAATTGGATTATTGTCTGCCAGTTGCTGACAGGTTAGATTGTGATACAAATCCTATCAAGAGAGTAGAACTCATTGCTAATGAGGTTAATGAACAGGTCCACTTTGATGAGCTTGCTGATCTGGATGATCTGCTGGATGGTGGTGGGCCTGGTGGTGGCAGAGGAGGAGGAGCCTCTGGAGCTGCTGGTGGCACCATGATTGGTATTAGAAGGACTCAGTTGCAGTGGAATCATGCAATGTTTTCCAAGCTGTTTGTCACGGCTAATGAAGTGAATGGTATTAAGAGGAATAGACAGATTGCCACTGAAGCAAAGTTCAATCGGAAGCTGAATAAAGCCATCAAGTTGTCCCAACAAGCTGCAATGGCCCTGGTCATAAGAAGGAGGCCTGCCCCCTGGGCTGTTAACAGTGGCACGTCGGAAGCTGCCAGAATTGAGGGAGTAGCTGAGCTGACTACATCTCCTCATGATCTTTATGTCCTCTGGAATGAATGGGAAGTGGGAGTTGGTCTTAACAAGCCTGTGAAGGACTTTACTGTTGCTGAACTTGGCAGAGTGAAGAGCAAGTTCTTCAGGAGGATGAAGTTCTGGAAGTGGATGAAAAGACTGATCAGTGCTGGTTGTACTTCTGAAGTTGCTATTAGGAGAAGTATGGTGGTTTAACCAAGAGGGTGTCATATATCCTTAAAGCTATGGTTCCTCATGAGGCCCATGGAGGCCACACATTCTTGCTTTGTGGTCCTGCTGTCAAGGCTGCTTCTTAATCCTCCTCTGCTGTCGTCATTGTATTTGTTCTTTGTTGCATGTCCTCTGTCCTTACTACTTGTCCCTCCCTTATATTTAAAGAACATAAAGGTGTACTGTGTACATGTTATCTGTTAGCACTGTTAGTGCTTTGTTTAGCTGCTATCCTCAACAACAGGGGCTTGCAAGATAGTAGTAGCTGACAGAGAAGAGTGTCGGTGAGTCGAAGTTATTGTTGTGAATTACTCTCCTGGTGACTTGTGTTTTTCCCATAGAATTTGCCTTATGTGCAATTATGTGAGTACTTCTCATCAATCACTCTGATAATCTAGCACGCTGCGCACTGGCTTGGTGCACCTACATAGATTATGAACTGTGTTGTACAGGGTTTATATTTCAGTTCATATTCCTTTGTGTATCTGTCCGGTACTACGAGTCCCAGGCAGACTGTACGGTACTTCTGATTATTTTTTGTCATGATTGGGGGTTCCTTTACAATGAATGCTTTTTGAAAAGCAACATTACGCAAGGCCCGTAACCGTTGAGTAGCATCGAAATTACATGTAACCACGCCTGCTTGGTTACTAAACTGGTACACGATTTGATGAGCAAATCATGCGTACAAACACTAGTTATTTTTTGCTTGAGTACATGCACCTCAACTGGTTACAAAACCGCGCGGACTGAATTTTGTAACCAGGACTTGAAACCAAACCCTTTCCTAATGAGAGCCCATATTTTTTACACGATACTACTAGTAGTATGGTTACAAAAAAAAGGGTCTGGTTACAAAAAAAGCGCACAGGGCACTTGTGCGTGCTTGTAACCAGGCGCATGCACCTCAACAGGTACAAACTAAAAAACTGTCTTCACTACTGTAAATACGTAGTATCAGTAATTGTACACAGTATCTTGTACGAGGAGTACTAAAAAAATGTGAGCACCAGTTGGAAGCTGGAAAAACTGATCTTGATTGCTATTCCAGTACAAACTCATGTAGAAAACACCGTAGAAATATTGAGTTGCAGGGGGACACAAGCAAAAAAAACAAGCAAAACACCAGCACGGCTCCTCCGTACTATCAGCAACTCGTATCAGTGTCCTCCGTATCGTATCAGCGGTTTGCTTKCTCCTCCGTATTGTATCAGCGGTTTGCTCCTCCGTACTATCGTATTAGCAGCGGATGCCGTGTCAGTGAGCATCCTCTGTGTCAGCATTCTCCGTATCAGTGAGCATCCTCCATAAAGCAGTGCAGTCACCTTGCGCTGTGTGGTTACATGTAATTTCGTTGCTACTACTACTACTAGCTAGTACTCAATGGATTAAGTAACAAATAACTGTGGCATCGCATCGGTCCCACGCCACAAGTATCTTCAACACTAACAACAACAAGCTCTCGAGCTAAAGCTCTTGCGCTTGTTGTTGTTAGTGTTGCAGATACTTGCAGTAAGAACCTCACTTTGATCTCCAGCTAAAGCTCTCGATCTCAGTGATGTTACTGGTGTACCATAAATGTGACCAGAATGTGTACTCTATTGAGCTTCGTATTATCGCGAGAAGAGTTTTTGTACTGTGTGCTCTCGAGCGCACGCGGACCGTGCGACGCCACAGTTACTCTACATAACGGTACGTACTGTACATCCGTATGAAGAACTAACAATGGTACTACTCGTACGGTACTCGTACTCGTACTCGTTCCGTAGCCTGCAAAGGTAGGACGAACGACACCAGCGAGTAAGGTACAGTACCTCCTTTACCAAGAGAACATCAGCTCTCATTATTTCAGTAGTCGGTTCTTGTTGCTAAACTTACACTAATGGTAGCTCACTAGGAATGACAGACTTGAACATCCAAAAGCTTATCAATTTACTTTAGGTCCCGACAACAAGGGACGGCACCTAGAAGAAAGTTGATCAAATTATACCACAGATGTCTCATTCGCCGAGTGGGAAAGCATCATCATCTAGCATGAGGTACCATGATTCGTTAGTAACGCATGAGTCTGAAACTGGGTCTGCATCAGTGAGCTCTCGGTTAGATATGTATAATTCTGATCGTGAATCATTGGCGCAGCCCTCTGACAACGGTAATCTACCTCCAAATATCAACCGATATCAATCGCATCAAAATCAAATCCATGACGAGGACCACCAACATCTTAATCGTTATCAAACAGAACAAACACATGCGTCTCCAACGATGATTCAATCACTACCTCGTTCAAATCCTATCGCTATCAAACGTAACCCGGGGGATGGGAATAAAGAAACCTATGACAGCGATATTGATGATGACGACAGCGATATTGACGTGGAAGGTGATGCTATCAAACTGAAACGAAAGTATGGCGAAAAAGTAGTTCAGACATATGTCCAAGACTCAACTATGATGCATTCTTCGAACAATAGAATGCGGGATAAAACATCAGTTCTAAATGCACCATACCTAGGAAGTTTGAGCAAATCGAGCAATCAAGTCTCGAGTCTACCTCCAATGAGTCTAGCCGGAGATGACATGTATCTTGGAGAACCGCCTGAATCAACTGTGATGGGATCATTGAGAGACTCCCACCAACGAAGACGTTTTATGGATGGCCCTGCTAGTTATAGAGAACGCCACTCAGGAAAAATATGTCACTTAGATCATAGACTTCGATTTCACGGAAAACAACCAGAGCTTAACATCGGGGAACGTTTACAACAATCTCTTTTACGTAAGAAGGAAGAAAGCAGAAAGTTACGAGGCACCACAATGGGTGGGGAAGGCGAACAAGAACGAAAGCCTGTCGCATCTTCACTTACAGCTATGATGAGAGACGCGCCACAAAGTGTGAACACGGTAAGCTTAGGTGGTGCAGACGCGAAAGAAGGGTATTCTTCTTCGATAGGACACGAGAGTTTGGTACCCATTCGTAAAGAAAACGATCACATAGCTTCAACGCTGCGCAAGGAACCACCTGCCTGGAATATGCTATCGACTTCTCTAACTGCTTTTGAACTACTAAAGACTTCGAACGCAGAGACAATCTCACGCAGTAGCAACAACTTTACCGATCAATCGTCTTCAGTGGAACGTGCAACTGAGTCGAATCACCAGCAGACGGCAGAGAGTAGATATGAAGGTGGGTTTCAGCCGCTGGCACGCTCAATGTCGGATCCATCGCCGTGCTTTCAAAGTCTCTCTCTTTCCGATAATACTTCCTCGAGGAGAGTGATACCAAATCTACAAACTGATGGGTTTGAAACGGGAATGGGACAGGCAATCCATCAACCTAGTAGTAGAGCTGCCGAGGACTTTGTCGCACAGTTTAGAACGGAACTCAAAAACTATCCTTTTGTAGGCGGTTATGGAAACGAACGAACTCTTTCTTTGGAGTCGCAACGTCAAGTGAACATTTTCAACGACACCAGTGGACATAGGTCTCCACAAGACCACGATCCAAATACGGAAGGAGCGTTCGGTGACTTAGATATGTAATCAACATTGATTATTCTTGTGTGAACACACATTTCAACAGAAAACTGGGATTTTTAATTCATCAACTTTCTAGTAAAGTTAAATAACGTCGCTACTTATAGGTTGTTTAGATATTATGGTGTTCGAGTAGACCTAATATTTTCGCAAATTACAACAAAATCACAAAATCCTTGCTGTTTTCGGGAATCTCATTTGCACATATCATTCAGCCTGCATTACCACTAGGTATGCACCTTCTCCTTTTCTAGATGCAATTGCACCTCATGCAAGAAATAAAGGGTCTACTTGTAGTAGAATTCTGGTAGAAGTAACACAAGAATAATTTACACGAGCTACTAGTGGTAGAAGTTGTTCTCTGTTACAAGTATCATGAAGAGTACTCCTAGTAGTATGGAGAACAGCTGCCACACTGTCACCACTCATCAAAAGACCAGCAACACCATAATAATAATACTGCTGCTGCTAACAGTTGTACCACCAGTAGTACTAATGCCCACTAGTAGCAATTTTTATTTACTAGTATGACATTACTGGTCAAGCCACCAGTCTGCAGCAGGTAACATCCCTCCTGATCCTTGTTCCCATCCCAAACTACMTTCATCATATCTTTCTTGTGCTATTTTGTTGGTACTGCCTCTTCTTGGAGCAACTATGAGTACTGTTCCTCCTTGTCAAAGTGGAACAAGAATGGATCTTCTATCTTTTCCACTACTACTAATAGTAATGGCGAGTAGTTGTGAGGCCAAATCACAACAAGTAGTAGCTAGTAGTAGTTGTAGTAAATAACCTCTTCGCTCTTTTTATTGGAGTAAATTGAATAGTAGTTGTGAGCCACAAAAGAACATACATACATTTCATAGGTTAAACATAGTACTAGGAACAGACTTACATCAACTTGTAAACTCATCACCAGCAACCACAGATCAACCCATAAGTAGTAGGTTGATATATCTGATCGACCGGATCTGGTGAGAACTACAGGGACTCACTGAACAAACCAATTGATAGAACCAAAAGCCATGAACATGTACTAGATGAATTCATGGGAACAATCAAGTCAGAATGCATGTATTTGCTGATTGGCCACTTAGAAACAATACCCAGTCAACATTTTATACCAAAAAACTTGGTATTTTCAACTTTGTGGACTAAAAGAAGTGTTGTGATGGCCCAAGCTCATCTCTTCACCTGACTAGTAGGAAGAAGATAACTGATAGATACTCAAAGGGATAGAACTCACCCTCTAAGGAGTTGTATTGGACAAGGCACAACTGACCCAGCCAAAAAATATAGATATAGCGCTCTTGCTTCACTGAACTGTGTGGGTGTTTCATTCTGCTTTTGATGTAATATTTTGAAAATGTGGTTGACCGCATGCTCCACTGCTTTGTAGGTTGATACTAGCTAAAAAAAATCTTAATATTATATTTAACCTTGTGAACTAGAAGAGGCACGACTACATAGCCAGAACCATAGCTTTGGGTGTAAAGTAGTATGCTTCTAGCTACTCCGAGGGGCGGCAATTCCCTCTAAGGAGTTTTGGTGGAAGTGCGACCAGGGGTTCGTTTTGCTGGGTTTAGGAAAATTGATTTAACTTGGTTTGGAGTAAACTGGAAGAAGTGACATGTGAGAATAGTACCTGTTAATCAAAGAGAAACAATTCTCTATGTTTCCCCTTGTTTCACAGGGTGTACAGAAAACGATTCTGTTTTTAAAAAAATTAGTGATTGAGGGCCCTGTGAGAGTGGTGCCATTATTACTAGTACTTAAAGGTTTCATTTACTAGTTTCATTTACTATTCAAGGTCTTGCATAAAGCATCTATTAAAACATTACTATGGAGGGGAATGCAGTTAGGATTACCCAACTCATTCCAATATTTCCCCAAGACCTTGAAATGAAGTTTGCATGTGCTTTTGTACAGCTATTCAGGGCTGCATATCTAAATTTAAAATGTATGATTGGTGCATCCGGAAAATCATAGCCAACACTTTACAATATCTAACCTTGTGAGGCAAAGGTGAATAATACTTAGTGGTAGGGCTTGTGTTGGAGGTGGATGCAAGTGATGCCTTACAGACACTGGKAAGAATATTTTTTTATACTCAAGAGGTAGTACATGAGCAGGGAGGTAGAGATGTCATATTGTATAGCGTGGGCCACGCGTTTCCGGCCGACCCAGTCGTACATTAGAAATCCCAGATATCCGTACATGTATATCAATCAATATTCATCGTACGCCATACTCCTCCACGCCATTAGAAAGCTCTTTCAATTTTCTTTTCAACCATGTGCTTATCATTGTTAAGCGTCCGTTGGGGACCAAATTATAGCTGTTAGAGTGAGTTGTACCCTACTTACTGCCCTACGTGTATTTTGTACTGTGCGGGGATTTTCTGCAATCTTTTTACCGTGTAATGACTACTTTGACTCAACCCCCAACGGACGCTTTTCACCTCAACAGACAAAGTTGCTCACAAAATTTGGCCACTAATCGTGTAAACTCTTATCTTGGAAATTCCACTCCTTGATACATTTGTTCTGTGTCCGGTTTATCAGAAGGAACCGTGTCGGAAGCATTTCCCCGTGCTTTTAACACAATGTGTCGATCCCATTTCTTTCTCTTAAAATCGATCGAGAACAATACACGCTGTGACCGACAGCACCCCTGCTAAGTATGGAGGATACTGCAAGAAGCAAGCAAAAACTGCATAATAAGCAAAATAACAGCAAGCAAAAGAAGCAAGATGAGCAACCGACACTAAAAACACCAGACTTCCTTGTGGAAGACCTCCATAAGGATGTATATCGATACGCCGAGAGCTCTCCAGACTCAGTCCCTCCACGACGGACTGGAGCTGTCTTGTTTGGTTATCTTCATCCAAAGCAAAGAGTGAAGTTGAAAAAGAGGAGGGCAAGAACAAAGAAGGCCCGCCACCAAGCTAGGATGCTTGTTTACAAAGGACCCAAAGCGTGTGCTTACAAGCACTGGATGCCACGTTGGAAGCTCGCGATCGTAAAGGGTAACATGGAGATGAAGTGGTATTCAGCAGCAAAGGCAAGGGAAGCAGCAAAGTTGGTTAAGGGCATTGATCCAGGGGTTGGATGGAAGATCCAAATAGTCATGGATACCTCAGTTGATCCCCCTGAAGCTCCCGAGCCCCCTCCACCAGAGATAATCGATGATCCCTCACCACGGGTYCRATTCRTATTGAATCAAGACTGGAAGTGGGTGGAGGATTGGGAATGGGACCAAAAGCCAACGCCATACAACAAAGAGCTGAATGAGACCTGTGCTGGTTGTTTGAAGAAGACCTGCCTAAAGAAGAAAGATCTGGCAAAGGCAATTGAGTTAGCTYGATTCGGAAAGCCACTGTTGCCTCCATCGATGAGCGTTGGTGATAAACACGAATGGTTCTTTGARATATACAGGTCTGTAATGAAGAGGGAAAACAATGTAACCCCCTCCATTCAGTGTGCAAAAGAATTTTGCTTTGATGAGTGGGGACATCCTATGTATGATCAAAGAAGCTTATCCTTTGATTCAGCTGACTATGAGGAGGAGATGAATCGTAAGGATGAGGAGGAGGTGGATTGCGAGAACCAGCAACCGAATCAGCAACCGAATAAGCAACCAAATAATCAACCACCGAATGAGTGTATTATTCATATTTAAGGAGTTTGCTGATACGGAGGAGGAGTTTGCTGAATGAGCAACCGAATGAGCTGCTGATACGGAGGAAGGAACCGAATGAGCAACCGAATGAGCTGCTGATACGGAGGAGTTAGCTGATACGTAGGAAGCAACCGAAGGAGTTTGCTGATACAGATGAGTTTAGTTCATACGTAGGAAGCAACCGAATGAGCTGCTGATGCGGAGGAGTTTGCTGATACGTAGGAAGCAACCGAAGGAGTTTGCTCATACGGAGGAGTTTCCTGATACGGAGGAGTTTGCTGATACAGAGTTCGCTGATACGTAGGAAGGGAGCAGCCGAATGAGCTGCTGATACGGAAGAGTTTGCTGATACGTACACTAATACTAGGAGGAGTTTGCTGATACGGAGGAGTGAGCAATCGAATTAGCTGATAACTGCTCAATATAACTAGTATTTCATTTATTACACTGATTCTAATGATCCAACCACTGAGCTTGTTAACCCACCAGTAGTGGTACTATTCTCCGTCGGTAAAGTTAGTTCACTGTTCACGGTCGTGTTGCTTGTTGGAGAAACAAGAACACCAACACCATCACCATCATCATCACCAAAGCTAGTGTCCTCCTCATCATCCTCGATGCCCAACAAGTATTTCATGTACTCACTGTTGTCTTTGAACTCATCGTTGGTTGGAGGCTTCCATTGGGTCCTATCTTTTCTTTTCTTGTCATTTCTTACCCTAGAGCAGTAGTCATTCCTTCCCAGACCAAACCACTCGTAATTGTGGTAGTTGCTGTGGCAAAACTTCCTCTCAACAAGATCTCCACTAGAGTCTCGCTTCCTTGAATGAGTATGGGCTGCACACCATTGCACAAATGCACTAAAAAAGGTCCATTTGGTACCTCTCCAGAGAATGTTGCCTGGACAATATTCTCATTGTTTCTCTTTTTTGAAACAGAGAGCCTAAAATCCAGGCTCTATTCTTGATCTTTGTTTTTACATGGTAAAATTGAGGGGGCATTCTCCTTGTTCAAACATAAAGAAACAGCAAACATAATATTGCCTAGTAGGTAATACTCTCTTTGTTTCTTTATGTTTACTAGACAACAAAGAAAAACACATAATATTGCCTCTTCTTGTTTCTCTTTGATTTGTTGATGAATAATATTCTCTTTGTTTCTCTTTGTTTTGACATAGTAAAGAAGACCTCCCCATGGAAAACCCTGATGTTGGTTGGTGTCTGTGGTCTTCCTATAAAACTAATATATGCACCTGCTGGCTGTTAGTAAGTAGGAAACTCACAATGTTAAGTTGCACATTGCAGTATTCTCTATGTTAGAAGGTAGGGTGTCCTTCTTCTTCCTCTTCTTCTTTTGTAGTAGTAGTACTAGTACTAGTAGTACAAGAACAAGAAACAGAAACACCCTCAACAAAATTATTATTTTTCTTGAATGCAGGGACGCTACTAGTACCAAATGAAGAATGGAGTTAATACTAGTAGGATCTAGTATGTAGGCATACAATGACCTGCTAACATTCCAAATGTATAGTCTGACATTGGGAACATCAGGTTAACATTGGGAACCTTAATTCTAATAAGAACATTCTGAATGCCCTGTGTAACATATTTTCAATTGATCCGCAACGTGCAGTAAGTGTGTATTGTACGATACGTATGATGCCATGTGTAACGGAATTCTTTCCTTCGTCGTTCACGGTTCATCGCCTTCTTGTTTGTGCGAGCACGAGTACGTACAATTTTGTACATACCCGTACTACGAACCAGTCCTTTTGCCAAAAACTCACTCGGTCAACCGATCGCGACCATAACATCATCATCACCATCATCATCGTTATCGATAAATAGTTTTTCAAACCGCTTAGTACAGTAACGACGAGTTTCACGCTACCGGTAATCGTGCCCGTGCGATACACTGTAAGGTATCGCAACTTTGTAGTCGTCATTTCTCGGCAAACCGCACTGTGAATGAAAAATAAGAATGAAAGCTTCGAACCATGGCGCAATGATGATCTCTTCGACAGACAATGAATCCGATGCCGTGACGATGGCGAATGCCTTTCGTTATGCTAGTGTGAGTTTTATTTCCTACGGCCATGTCTCTCTTCTTCGGTTTTGGAAATTGGGAACGTTTCCCCTCTTTTTTTATGTATTCCAGGTAGAGGCTCAACCTTTTGTTGCATCTTTCTTCGTGTTTCCAATGGTCGCGGTATTGTTCGATTCGATTGCGTGCAATCGCGCTTGTTTTCATACGATGTTAGGACGACGATACGCGAAATGTCATGAACGTCATGACAAACCAAACCCCGTCTGCCCTGGAGGCCCTTAAATTTTTTGCGGTTACAAAATCTTGGTTTGTTCGAGCATGGCCAATTTTAACAGCAAAGCCACCCGATTATATCGATGACGATTTTGGGGACAATCTCAGGGAATACATCGGGAAGATTCAAAATTCGGAGCTAGTAGTTGAAGCAGACCAAATTGGTGTCGACGACGAGAAGAAGCTCCAGGAAGAGAGAGTCGTCCCTTCGAGCGGTTTGACGAACGAAGCCATGCACCATCGCAAAGTTCCACAGCATGTGGAACCCATAAAAATGCTGCCGGGACTCGTTCACACAAAGGACTATTTTTTCCTTGGCCCAAGCGCTTGGATGCTCGTAAAAGAAAAATTTGGTTACGACGGATACGAGATTTGTAGGTCTTGCAAGAGCGTAGCAACGGGGGTCGGCCAGGGAACAATAGCGGTAGCACTGCTGCCGGGAGAAGAAACTATCCCATCCACTTTCGTTGCCGATGACAATGACGAAAACGTAAAATCAATGCAGTCGGCGATTTTGCCTGTGTCGGGAAGATTCCAATACGAAAAGATCATTTCGGCGAAGATCGAGAGTGATATTTGCATGAACTCAACGCGTCGTGACATGGTCGAAAAGAGGAACGAGGTAAGTTCAATGCACAGTTTAGCAAGATGGCTAGTAATATACTCATCGCCAAAGTGTATGGGTGGAAAACATTTGCTCTTGCAAACGATTCGTCCATTTGATATCTCACAGACCGCCTATGAAAACAGCTCCCAGTGGAAGAAGATGAAACAGAGCCACCTATTCTATTACTGCCTCCTTCGATGGTAGATGACGATTCTATTTCTGATTCATGCGACAAACACAAAATGGAAATTGAAACACACGAAAACGGTGGATATAGTGCTAGTACGCAGACACAGGTATCTACTCGCAAACGTTTCGCATCGGGGCTTTCAAACATGGGAAATACCTGTTTCATGAATTCTACTCTTCAATGCTTGGCACATACCGAACCTTTACGGCGATATTTCCTTTCCGGAGAATACGAGAAAGATCTCAACAGAGACAATCCACTTGGAACCGGTGGCGAGCTAGCAACGCAATTCGCTAGTCTCATGGCCGAAATATGGACCGAGACTTCGAAACGCAGAAATGTAATCGAAGGAGAGACTCAAAATTATAAATATTCAAACCCCTACTCGCAGGCTATTTTCCCTCGAAATTTCAAAAATAGCCTTGGAAAACATGCGGAACAATTCATGGGGTATGATCAGCATGATTCACAAGAACTAGCGACGTATTTGTTGGACGCCTTGCACGAAGACACAAATCGCGTTACAATAAAACCATACGTAGAGAAACCAGAGCAAGGAGAAAATGAATCCGATGCCCATGCTGCAGACAATGCATGGAGGATGCATCTACGTCGTGAGGATAGTCGCGTGTTGGAAAACTTTGTGGGACAAGTGAAAAGCAGACTAGAATGTTGTGAGAAAGGATGCACCAGAGTTTCAACGACATTTGATCCGTTCATGTATTTATCAGTCCCCATCCCTGGCGAATCTGAGAGATCAATGACGGTTACATTTGTCCCAATTGATCCCCAAAAAAGAATGCAAAAACTAACACTGACTATCGAAAAGACAGCGACAATAGCCTGTCTCTTAAAAGCGATGAATGAAGAATTAGTCAGGGTCAAAGTATGTTCGGAACTGATCCCCTTAGAGGATTTGTGTGCTGTTGAAATTTACGACAAAGAAATCTTCAAGTGGCATAAAATCGAGGACGAGGTTCATGGGATTAAAGATTTCGATAAAACTTATGTATACCAACTCACGTCTCTGGAAGAAGTGAAAAGAATATCGAATGAAACCAGTGTTGACGAAGACGTCGGTGGTATTGATTGGAGTAAGACCTTAAAGCATCGAGTCAATCTTGACTTGTCGACATTCAACGAGCTAAACAAAGGAGATCGTTGGAAAGACCAGCTCAGCAACTATGCAAAGCAGCGCTTCCAGATTTATAAGATCCTAAATGTCAGTCGCAGTTCCATCGAAGAGATGATTGAGTATTACGAGAAATTGGTAGAATTTCTGGACGAATGCTACCTAGAATTAGAAAAGCACAATGACTCGGAATTAAAACATACAGGGAATCATGATGAAAATACCAAGGGGGAAGCTATTGAGATGCAATCCACTTCTACGGGCTCGGAGAAATCAGGAAACGGAACCCGGGGAATGATTGATTGTCCTTCTACAAGATTTCCGAATGTCAGAACGAGACACGACATCGGAGTCCTTGAATTTTGTGCAGACAAGCTGAGAGAACTGATATACGATCGAATGTGTCGTGAAAAAAAGAAAAACAGCGAGGGAGTTGTGATTCAGGTCGGGATAAGAAAGCCTTCGGGATCTTCGACGACTCATACTACAAATCGGCATGGATTGCTAAGCACCTGCTTAGTTCTTCGCTTACCATGTAACTTATCTGTTTATGGCCTTCGAAAAGAACTGGCACACAGGCTCTCTCGGTCACTCTATGAACAAAAGAAACCTCTACACGAGGCAAAACTAGGAGAGCGGCATGTAAATTTGTCATCAAGTAATACAGGCGAATCAAATTTGGAAAGCCCTGAACTTAATATATTACGAAGAGCACGTTTGTCCTGCGACAATAGTGATCGAGGATCGCATTATGAAAATTCGAAATCTCTTGGAATGCTGAACAAAGCAACAGATTCTGAAGCTGTTGAAAACGAAGACCAATCACTATTAGCTATATCATCCGACGAAATGGAACAAGCTGTGGTCGCAACGAAGGTGAAGAATCGTGGACACGTTTATCTTGACTTGCAACAAGAAGATGGGTGGGAAGTATTTGATGCTAAGGAATTCGAGGTTGTGGTTGTACCAGACCATGATAATGGGACTCCGTCTAAAGAGCCCGAGCCTGACGTTAAGGTTAGAGATTGCATCGAGAACTATTGTAAGAAAGAACAACTGGAGGAATCTGAAATGTGGTACTGCAACGAGTGCAAAAAACATGTTCGAGCATGGAAGCAATTTTATATTTACCGTGCTCCTCCTATCCTTATCATCCATTTGAAGAGGTTCTTTTTTTCCGCTTCTACTCATCGTCGCGATAAAATCACAAGAAAAGTCGATTTCCCTTTGGAAGGATTAGATCTTACAGATCTAGTTGCAAGCTACGACGAAGACGATAAACCCATCTATGACTGCTACGCTGTGAGCAATCACTTCGGTGGTTTGGGAGGTGGTCACTATACAGCATATACACTCTCTGACGATGGAATATGGTGCAATTATGACGATAGCCGTGTTACCACGGACATAAATCCTGAGGAAGTAGTATCCGAAGCTGCTTACGTTCTTTACTACAGAAGACGAGATGTGTCCGTAGGAGAAGACCATGATATAATAATTGACACAAAAACGTCGCCCACGAATTGCGAGCACACTGATTGTCCCGGAGAAGTAAGCGATGTATCAATCAATAACAACACCCACGCGATGGACCTGACTCTTTACGACTCGGACAGTAATGGTAGTTCGAAGACTGCGTTGTCTCCAACGGATTCTATTGAAAACAGCGATGAAAACATAGTTCATCAATCTGACGATTATATGAATGTCGAAACTACTTTCCAATGAAGAACACGTCAGAAGTAGCCTTCGTTCCAGTAGATACATCTATCCACAAATAGAAATACATTTAGTTTAGACACTACATTTCTCGACAAAGTCATTTGATATTCTTCATATTCTTGTGACGTCAGGTTCGGATCTCTCGGTAGCGTCTTCGACATCGGTGCTAACCACACTCGCGTACATATCTTTTGCAACGGCTTCGGAAGTGTCTTTTTCGGCTGCAGATATTGCCGCTTCAAACTGGTTTGAATCGGTAATTTCGTTTGCGTTCTTCTTGCTTGCTCCTTTCGCGGGTGAATTCATTTGCTGTACAGCTTCGTCCACCTTGTGCTTAACATTTTCTGCAACATTTTTCGCGTGTTGCATGAGACCCATTTTGGTAATCTGCTCTGACGCTCGTTTGTTGACTTCCGACTTTGCTACGGCCCTTCTTGCTCTGCCTAATATCGAGAACAATTTGGTCGATGATTTCTTAATCGTCTCCGATGTTTGGTTCGTTTTCCGAATAGCTCGGTTGTCGAAGGTTGGGCAGTAAGACAGTAGCTTTCCTTGGTTGTCGGTTTCAAAGACATCTACAATGGTCAGTGTCACAAGATCTCCTACCTGGAGATCGGATTCTTCTTCCGCAGGCGCATCTTCGCTCAGCCCACCATCGAAGGACATGTTTGCAAACTCGTTCATCCACGTCCAAACGACACGGTGGGCAGCCGTGACACGGTATCGCCCACCGGCTATTCTCATCACTGTCAGCCCGGGAGGGTCAATAATGTTCAAATGGTCTCCACCAGGCATCAAGGCTGTCGAAGGATCAATCGCAAAATAGTTATGGGTACAAGAGCAATTCAGTCAAAGCGGGTTATTTTCTCGATTAAGTGCAATATGATACATGCACCTGCTCTTTCTCAGCGTTGTCTGTGTTTCAAAACGATTCGATGGTATTGAAAACGAACGTAGCCGGCGGATTGACTAAAAACATGTTTCGGCACCCATTCTCTCCTGCAAACCCTTCCGGTACTCACCTAACCATCTAAGAAACAACTGCGAGAGGGCAGGAATCCCCGCGGCAGCTTCTAGCTCTATTCCCTCCACCTTTTCGATGCCAAAAAGTTGCGATGCCGTGTGCGCCTGGGGGAGGACTACCTCGGCATCGTCGGCAAAGACGATGAACGGTAGCGCGGTGACCGGAAGTCCTGACGTCATGACGCTTTCTTCGTCCTCGTCTTCTATTTCCGCGTTCCATTCGTCTAGTGTTGTTGCGCCACTCAGTGGATGGGCGCTCAGGGCCTTTTTGAATTCTTCCGGATTCGAGAGCAGGTAGAGAAGGGCCAGGTGCATCTCGTGCACGCTCGCGGTCGCATCCTGGTGCCGGTACATGTTGTATGTGTGCCCGGCCGTCACGGACGAGGAAGCACCGTCGTCGGTGTGGTTGTAGTACGAATCGGCGGTGCCGATCTGGCTGTAGTCGAGGGATTCGCCAACGTGGAAATTGCTCGCGTTTGCATCGTCAAAGGTGGAGTCGTCTCCACCGGAGGTCGTCGATGCCATCCTGTGAAGTGGAATGAATCGAGTCGATTCTACTACCGCTATGTTGCTTCGTTTCGGGACTTGATGGTCGAATGGCCGCGGAAACGAACGGCGGCGTTCGAGTATCGGGTAGGTAGACGAAACGACAGTACCGAACAGTGTCTGATATTGCTATCAACCAAACTTCTCAAGTGCCTTTGTGACTTGCAATGACGGAGAGAAAAGAAACGCACGAGTGTTCTTTGATGCAAATGAGTTCACCAGGTTGAGTTACGACGGGGTGAGGGTGGTGGCTGGCGGCACGAAGAGGATGTGATCCAGCATTTGTGCTTTGTGCCCGTATGTGATTAAAAATCGATCAGCAGAATCGGTACGCTACCGCATGTTCTACCGTTTGTCTTGGACTACGCTACGGCCGGCATGTATGTACGTACTTTCTGTACGGTACAACTCCTCGGGTCCTCGTACTCTACGCTACTCTACGGTACTCCTATTCGTACGAGTGGTACGATACTCTACAAGTGCAAGGATCAACGAGCGTCCAGTACGTACAATGCACCGTACGTCGTTGGTACTGCACGACGGCTATGCCGTAGCATGAATTGCATTTACTTCATACTTTGTACCGTACAGTAGCAAGTACTTGTACTACGAGTACGGTAGTCGTAATGCAAGAAATCTCAAAGAGAAAAACCGACCATTTAAATTCAAAGTTTCCCGTAAACTCTTGTGCTTGGAAACTGCCAGTGGTGGCGCCCAAAAAAACAAAATGACTTGCTTTTTTTACCTCTTTCCGCCGTTCTGAACCCACGAAAAACATTGCCAAAATGAAAATGAAAATGAAAATTGAAATTGAAATTATTTGTTCAGGTCAGTTTAGTTTTGAGTCCAGTGCATTTTGTCAATATTTTTTTCGACCTCTCCTCGTCGACTACGGCACTGTACACCCAAAATAGTTTCGCTCACCACAACACCAGCTGGCTGGGAATACGGTCCATAGCATCGAAAACCGAGCCGAGCAATAGCACAAAGGCAACTATAATCGAAGATAAAGAAATACTGCAATAGACGAAGGGGTCCTTGCAGAATAGGAAGATACCAAGGACGCCGAAGGAATGTCTTCCGATGAACCAGTTGCCGACGTTGCCGTGGGGAGTGCGAACCGCTCGTCCAAGCGCTCGCTCGAAACCGACCTAGGGGAGACCAAGGATTCCAAGACAGGAAATCCGAGTTCTCAAGATATCCAAGCAGTCAATAAGAATAATGGCGACGTCGAAGATGCGGAGAATCCATCGAAGAGAGTGAAGGTAGAAGAACACCAAATAGCGAGCGAGGGAGCGACGGCGAACGGCGACAAGACGTCGAGCCCAGCTGTTCCAAAAGATCCTACAACTTCATCACCATCACTGCCGACTAGTCACAGCGACAAAAACGAAAGGGGGAACAACGGGGCTGATTCCGGGAGCAAAAATGATACTGCTACTGCTGTGAATTCCGAATCATCATCACAAAGGGAAAAAACATCGTCGTGCGGGGATAATGACAATGGCACTAACACTTCTACTACTGCCGATGCTGACGCTGACGCTGATGCTGATGCCGGCACTGATACTGCCGCCCAAGACCGAAAACCACAGCCATCGCCTGCAATAACACGTTCACGATCCCTTTCTACAGAAAACAACAGGGGAAAAGAAGCGGGGGATACTCAGGAAGGAGAAGAAGATGCCGAAGACTCCAAGCCTCCGGCGAAGCCCAACGAGCGATGGAGAGGTAAGAACAGCCTATGTTTTGTTTCGTTCCTTTCTTTTGGTGACACTCTCGAAAGCAATGAATCAGACAAAGGCTGAGAACGCATACATCCGATCAAAAGACCTCACGAATCCAAACAATACCTGACTCACACTCCCCACTCATATCGCGTCTCATGAATGCATGGCAACGAATCAAAAGTGCACCAAATGGCAGAAGATTACACCACTTTAGTTGGACGAATGATGTACCCAGTCACTCAGTTTAATAATTATGGCTACGATCCCCTGATGCGACAATATCCTATGGAGAAGATATCTCTGCTCTCTTTTATCCAGAGTCCTCTGCGGCGGCCCACTATTATTGAAAAATGGAGTCCCTACGAAATCGCGGTATTTGAAGGGAGCTTGTTTCATTACGGGAAGGAATTCAGGGAGGTTAGCAAACAGATTGGCACCAAAACTACCAGAGAAGTCATCGATTTTTATTACATCTGGAAGAAAACGGGCCACTACAAAAAATGGAAGGAACAATTCATATCCGATGAGGACTTGCTATATGACTATCACGTTCCGGTAAAAAAACCAAAACGATAACACAATTACAGGGTTGAGATCGACGTTAAACAGTTCACCGGTTCTTCAATATTGTAGTCGAATAGAAATAAAATATCATCACCATCGTGGTGCTACGCTTAATAGGCTATGGGTCATCCACTGCCTTGTTAATAATCTTGTTGGTAACATTATTTCACGTCGTCCGCGTCCTCTGCGAGTCTCGCAGTTGCTTCGATCCCCATCTCGACGGCCCGTAAACCATCTTCTAGGGTGACTTGTGGAAAGAATTCTCCAGTTTTCTGGTAGCGTTTCATTTCATTCAGTAGGTGGTACCATTCCACTGCTGTGCTGTTATAGTGGTAGCCTCTGTGACTTGGTATTTCGCTCTCGATCGAGTGAATTTCACGGACATTGCTGCAATCAAAGACCTCGCATCTTATGGCAGAAAGCGGCGGTGGAATGCTACGGTCCCTCCATAGCTCGTAGCTGGGTCGAAAAAACTGATACACCTTATTTTCTGGAAGATATGCCTCCAATCTCCCCTATCGTATTGAATAGCGATTTTCGAATCAATTAGAACACCACAACAATATCCGTTAGAACAATCCTTGGAATATATTAACGTGTCTTAATGATGTCTCGTCTTACCTTTGTTCCCGTAACAATGATCTCTTCTTGGTGACGGCTGCCTTCCGAAAACATGCACAGTTCCAAGCAACCGATGGGCCTCGTAGCGCTCTTTTGGATTGGATTGTTTTCAAACGGCATCGTAACAAAGGCGGAATCGATTATGGGGATTTCGAATTCGCTCGGCTCATCTTGGTAGTTCAATCCTCTCTGAGCCAAGGTTTTGACCTTTGATAGAATAGCTTCTTTTTGGGTAATTAACCTAACGACGCAACGAATAAAATGAGACATAAAATATCAGTCATCTATAGAGAATGAAATTTCGAGAAGAGAAAATAGTGATTCTTTCTTACCTGAATAAATCGAAAAAATGACAGCACTTCTCCACCAAAGTGTCCCTGGTGTTGAATGACAATAATGTAAAAGTGCGAGCCAGATTTTGCATGAGTACCACATTGTAGTCAACGCTACGCCAGAAGACAAAGAAAAGAAGACGGACGAAAGTGCTTACCCTGTCTTTGCACGATCACGATTCCATTTGCCAATCTTGTGGAGAAAAGGATAGCGATTTTCTCTGATTGTTATCATTTTCAAATCGCCAATATCCGGGATCAATGAAATCAGTTTAGCTATTGCAGGTATGTATCGATATTCCATGGCAACCCAGACTCGTGCTTTCCACTCTGGAGACGAAGACAAAGCACGCAATTCGTCATGCTGTTCTCTGGAGACAGCTATTGGCTTCTCGACGAGAATAGTGATATCGTGAAGTCCCCATTGAAGAAGGGAGGGTGTGTGGAGATAGTTTGGTGAAGCGATAACAAGCAGATCAATGTTGTCAACGTGAAGGAGGAGCTCGTTCTCGTCTGTCAGGAAGCAAGGCTCGGAATTTTTAATGATAGGATCGCCTCGGAAATCTTCCATGATCTTCTTTGCCTTTTGCAAAGAATCATCAAACGGATCACAAAGATAATCAATTCGAATCTGAGAGGCATATCCCATTATATACGATATGTGTTCTTGTCCCATCTGCAAAGAGAAACATGGATGCCGATCTTATGTTAGATTGTTACTTCTGTGGTTGTCCCCTTAGAAAAAGAACGAATCTCTCATTTCTCAACTACACTTTTTGGTCATGATCAGACGTACCATTCCACAACCGAGGATGGCGCATCGAATTCGATTGCAACTACCATATCCTTCGAAGGAGAAATCCGAAAGTGGCTGGATATTAGGTGGCATTTTTGTTACTTTGGAAAAACTTTCTAAATTATTTTAATGAAATACTAATAGAAAACATTTCGCAAGAATGATGAACGTGAATGCAATATCCACAACCGCCTCGATAGTTTAGGAATGGGACACATCAATCTGCAGTCAAGTGATTCGAAAAAAACGTGACAGCAGAATGAGCGGTCCTGGTAAAGCATCAGAAGAGTGTCAAAGGATTATTACCATTAATATTTGTTGAAAAGAGGAAAAAGAAATATCGTTGTCATGATTGATGTGATCTCAATAACTTCACAGAAACTATTCGGATTCACGCAACCGGGGACTGACTGGTACGGCACATTTTTGTTTTATACGAGTTGTCTGTACTACACTGGCGTAGTCATAGATTTTATGAGAATATAAAATACCGCGTGTGAAAAGGGGCTTATCAAAAGATATCAAATCGATTTGATGCTCTTCGACAGAAATCACGATCACTTTCTTTTTCTCTGACACTCCTTCCCACAACTCCGTTTTGGATTGATTGATTATGACAGCCTGATTTTTCACAGGATCGATGGTTTTGAGAACCATCATCTATGCTGACGAAATCTACTTACTTTTTGAAATACAACAATATTTCATAGATTCTGTTCCGCAGAAAAACACAAAGGCACTCCATTGCCTGTCCCCGAAACTAGAAGTCTCTCGAAGCTAAACAACATGTCTTCTTCATGTTCCCAAAACATGCCAAGTGATCCGCTAGTCTTTGGGTTTTGGAAAGTTCCAAATGAGGTTTGTTCGTCGGTATGCTACGAGGCAATAAAGAGCGGATATAGAAGGTTGGATTGTGCTTGTGATTACGGAAACGAAATAGAAGTAGGGGAGGGCATTGCGAGGGCGATCGAAGATGGACTATGCAAGCGTGGAGATCTCTTCGTCACGAGTAAGCTTTGGAATACATACCACAAACCTGAGCATGTGCGGGTGGCATTCCAGCGTTCTTTAAAGGATTTGAAGCTAGAATACCTTGACGAATATTTGATTCACTTCCCGATTTCATTAGAATTTGTTCCTTTTGGAAAGAAATACCCTCCCGAGTGGATTAATCTAGATGGAAAAATGGTCGTCGTTCCGAATGACATGTGTGCGACGTGGAAAGAGATGGAGGACCTTGTGAGAGATGGAATCGCAAGGTCGATTGGCGTGAGCAACTTTTCAGTGCAACTTTTGCGTCAGATATTTAGCACGTGTGAGATTCGTCCATCCACATTGCAAATCGAAGTGCATCCCCATAACTCGCAAGAAAAACTAGTTCGTTTCGCTCACGAAAACGACATGAAAGTAACGTCATTTTCTACTCTTGGTTCAACAAGCTACGTCGAATTGTCAATGGCCTCTGATGAAGACTCTCTACTCTCGAATTGCATCATAACGGATATTGCCAGTGCGAAACAGAAAACTTCTGCTCAGGTATTGATTCGCTGGGCGCTACAAAGAAATATTTTTCCGCTGACGAAAACAGTCAGTGGAAATCGAATGAAAGAAAATCGAGATGTCTTCGATTTTTCTTTAACGTCCGATGATATGAAAAAAATCAACGATTTGAATGAGAATCGTCGATTCAATGACCCTGGAGTATTTTGTGAGAGCATGGGAACCTTTTGTCCAATCTATGAATGATTTAGAAACCTGTTTGGCCCGAACATCAAGTCAAAAAATAAAAAAAATGAATATTACAGTACTGCAATCAATTACATATGCAAAAGCTACTGGTATATCTTTAAAAATTCGAACTACAATGAAGTTGGGTAACTAGATCAAGCATAGTGTTGAACAAGAAAACATTAATGGCATCACAGCAGAGGATCACATCAAAGTACCCACTACCAGTATACAAGTAGCACGATTCTAAGTTCCATCCACTTCTTGGAACATTCATCAGGGCCTTGGTTGCTGAGCCCTTCCTACATTGCTGAAGAGGATTCTTGTACACTCTTTTTTGTTGTTGCTACCAACATAATTTTGAGTCAAAAACTTCCAAAATAGGAATGCTGACACAAAGAGCTACTAGATTTGTTTGTCAACCCACAATAGCCATTAGATGCTGTGTTGTTGAGGTACAGCAATTTGTTGGATTCCACTACTAGCTACTACTAGCTAGTTACAAATTGATTTTGTCCTGCATGACAAGAACAACAAGGACATACCAAGAACAAGAAGACCAGCACCACCAGCACCACCAGCACCACCAGCACCACCAGCACCACCAGCACCACCAGCACCACTACCCATCAGTTGAGTAATATGTTAATGATGAGAAAAGAAATACTTGTTATAGCATGGAAGTCAATTGTATGGTACATGTGCACAGGTGTGTGTGTGTGTGTGTGTGTGTGTGTGTGTGTGTGTGTGTGTGTGTGTGTGTGTGTGTGTGTGTGCGTGCATTGATGCTCACTGACAGGAACCACGTCCATGGATCATTAAAAACCGACCATCAACATACCCAAGGGCCACAACAATGTCAATAGAATTCATCATCATTTATGTAGCTCTCCATTTTGAGCTTGACAAAGATGACTTGTCTCCAGAAGATAGGCACAGAAGGGATAGGAGAACCCCAAAGAATGCAATCAGGAGATATAATTAGTCTCCATTCCTCCACTTGTTTAGTTCTGGCAACAAGTAGGCCCATTTGAACTGTTGTGGTGTAGACAATACAGTCTTCAGAGGTCTTTTTGCACTCTATGCCCCAGTATTTCACACATAGTACATGGTTGATGAAGCAACAGGCAGGATAACAAGAAGATCCTTCCACAAGAATTGAATACCAAAGGGACACCATAGGGAAGCAACTGCATTGTGTTGCCTTGGATTACCTCTGCACTGGTTCAGGACTTGTGGATAAGCAGCAAGAGGGCTATCAATGGCATTTGGACTCACATTGAAAGTGATGTACACGTGGATCAAGTTCTCAAGGTGTGGTCTCCTCTATGTCTTGCAAGACCATCCAGACACAAGAGTCAGAGTTCCTACCATAGAGGATATCTATACTTATCATATAGGCGTGGCTTGGAAATGTACAATACAGTTGTCAATTTTGGGCTATCTTTTTTGTGTAATGACTACTTTGACTAAATAAACTAAATGCCAAAGTATAAGTACTTACTTTACAGCAAGGCACATGCTGAATTTTTGAATCCCACCAGTGGTGCAACCAAAATAGTTTTGAATCTCACCAGCAGTCGTTCAACCAAAACAGTTTTGCTTGCACTTGCGTTGTAGCCCTAGTACACGTCAAATATTAATCCCATGAGTCATTACACAGTAAGAAGATAGCCAAAAATCAACGCACAGTAGGCAGAAAAACATGTAGAACATCAAGTAACAGTCAAATCACTCAAACAGCTGTATCATGAATCAAAAGCCATTTTAAAGAGGTTTTTAACCTTATGGGGGAGTTGGGGGATCCTAGTGGGATTTATAGATATATGTACAGAGCAAAGGTTGTGGTCAACTCAGCCTTTACTAACTTTCAAGACAAGAAATATCTTGTAAGAAGCTCCCAGAGGGATCCAGACATGGTTGGTGGCAATACCAGGGTGGTCCATTGAATGAGGCTACTACTACTAGAGCTGCTACTACATTGACAAAGCAACAAGCTACATCACTGAGACAGGTATCTGAGTGGGGATGAGGATGATCCAAGGCCAGTTTCCAAGGCTGAAGGTCAAATAAACCTATGATTGAGCTGAGCAAAGAGCAAAGCTAAGCAGCATTATATTGTGTTAAGTTGGATTTTGTACACAATACTTTGTGTTATTTGAATTTTTCAAACTTTCACATGGTCCATTCTTGAAGCATTGAAGTGTCAGTTGAAGTGTTGAAATGTTACTAAATTGAAATGCATAACAAGAAATTCATGTTGAATAATGAAAGAACCACAAGATTCCATACTAATAAGGAGAAGAAAAAAGCCTGGCATTTTTCATTTTAATCAATAATAAAAATATTTGTTTATGAATGTACTGAAAAAAAAGGAATGCATGTTTGAGTATTGAAAATTCAAAAATAACACAGAATACTCCTGTGTAGATAATGCAATCCTATCGTGCATTCTTGCTTAGTAAGCAACGGTCTGTCACTGTATCTAATTCACTCACAATCCACCAGCAGCAGTCAAAACAAACCAAATCAAAGTTGTTGATCAGTAATGAATAAGATTATATAAATTAAATGTAGTTAAATGTAAATGTGACAATGGGATTTGTTGACTCTTCTAATTGCAATTGGATGAAGAATCCTTGGTTCCTCTTACAATTGCTGGCTTTGGGACTGAAGTGCTGCATTGCAATGGTTACAAGGGATCCAAGAGCGCTCCCAATTGCCTGCAAATCTTCCTCATCTCTTTCTTCCCTGGATCATCTATTATCAGCTCTCTTATGCGGCTGGTGAGCAACCACTTCTTGTTCCAAGGCATCCACAATGCCATGCTTTGCAGTGGCAGTGTTGTAAGATTGGACATGGGGGGCTCTCCTTACTAGTATTGATACAGCACTTGCAGATACACTTGCACCAACAACTGCAACTGCAACAGCTGTGTCATTGCTGATACTCTGGTGGGTCTCTTCCTGCTGAGTAAGTTCTTGTGAATCTTGGGTTTCTTGTGAGGATGCTTGGTGGAGTGGTGGGGGCAGAGGCCCATCTGTGTTGTTGTTGGCATTTGCATTGTCACTGGCATTTGCATTGTTGTTTGCATGGTTGTTGCCATCATTATTCTTCCTGTTCCTATCACCACAACTACTAGCACTAGTAGTAAGAATGATGTTGCTGTTGTTGCTGCTGCGTGCTTGCTGGCACCATGTGTTCTCAATATTTGCCAAAAATACAGTTGTTTTCTGTTAGTCTCAAGCAAAATTCCATATGCACGTATAGTGTTCAATAATTCAATATCTAGGATTCTATGTGGTTACATACTTAATCCCATACACAAATTCATAGAGTAGTATGTCAATAGATTCAATATTTTCATTGTTTACGGGAATCACCCATAGAAGAGATGTTGACGCTATCCTCGTATTCACAATACGAAGAACACCCTCGAGGCTATTTTTAAAAAATCCGTCTCACCTGATCCCGTCCTTGTACGAAGCTACGTATCGAACGTACCGAACTGTACGGTATGTTGTGATTCTTTTGCGAACCAGAACGGATGTCAATTCTTAGGTTCAACGAGCTCTGAGGAATAGTGCAAACACCGACAGTACCAGGGCCATGGCTACCACCAAAGATACCGCGGATGCGACAATGGATGTTGGCTTCGAGGTCGTCGAAGAAGACTGGACCATAGTGGAGGGTGGAGAATTGAGAGGGATGAAACACGACAAAGGGGTCCTTTCGCTTAGTTCCGAAAACACCCGTGATGTCCATCGCTGGCGTAAAATGCCTTCCCTGGAAGAATACGAGTCGCTCAAGAAGTTGGATCTTCACAAGAGTCGCTATATAAAGAATTTGCACGAATCGGTTTGCCGATTGTCAAATCTAGAGGTGCTTTCTCTTGTACGCTGCGAAAAACTAATCACTCTTCCTGCTCAAATTGGAAATCTGAGCAACTTGCAAGAGCTCAATCTTACGGACGCTTCGGAACTGTCTTCTCTTCCGGAATCTCTAGGGAATCTCTCCAATTTGCGAAAGATTTCCATCGGTGGGCATCAGGGATCCGGCAATAAAGTTTTGAAGAGATTGCCATCCACATTCGGGAACTTGAAGAGTCTAGAAATATTGTGTCTCGACAAATGTAAAGAACTGGAGTCGTTGCCGCCAGACATCGGGAATCTTAAAAACCTGAAGGTAGTTCTCATGCGGTAAGTAAATATTGAAGTGAAGGACACTTCAAGTTTGTTCGTAAGTTGCTGGTTATATTGTATTCATTATGTAATAGTATTCTCACGTTTTTCTGGAAAGCGAATGCAAGGCTGTCAAAGAACTACCAAAATCCATCGGGGCCCTCTCGAACCTAGTAGAGCTATCCATAAGCAAGTGCATTGGACTTTCAAACATTCCACCTGAACTTGGTGACTGTGGGAATCTAGAGGATTTGATTATGAACAAATGCAAAAATATTACAACCCTCCCAGACAATATTTGCAATCTGAGGTCGCTTTGCATGCTTGATTTGAGAGCCTGTAAAAAGCTTATTATCCTTCCGAGTCAAATCGGGCGACTAACAAATCTGAAGTTCTTGGATCTTCGAACCTGCAAACGCCTTGAAACTCTTCCCAAATCGCTCGGGGAGTTGACGAAGCTTGAATTTCTGGACATTTCTGCTTGCGTCGACCTCACTGTCCCCAGATCGCTTGAAAAATTTAAAGACATGACGGAGGGCTGGGATGAAAACAGGGTCCAGTAAAAAGCCATGTTGGTAGAAGTAACGTTCTACATTCAATACCAAAAAAGAAGAAAGCTTTCTACGCGGTCTTCAGTTTTTTCCTTCATACTTAGTAAAGTAATATCTATGTACAGTGTTCTACTGGTGCTCATTGAACGTTATTCTTTTCGCCAATGTTAAGACAAATCATATTTGATATCTAAATAATGTTATCTATCCATTTTTTTAGCGCCCCAAGCGTCCTACTTTGTACTCAAAACTCGATTTCACCCGATTGCAAAGAAAAAATCGACTACTCCTTCTTTTCTCTCTTTCGACACAAGCCTAACACCGGAAGTCCCTTTTTCAGTAAGGCTGGATATGCCATGGTGGGACCAAGAACACCATTCACGAATAGGACTGCTGAAAGAGCTATTTTCAGACCAAGTGGGGTTTTGGAATCGACAAATACTATGTATGCACCGTATGCCTCAGAGAATGCCCCGACGGGAAACGTTAGAAGAGGAACAACCATTCGGATGGATCGACAGAAATTGTTGCCTGGAAGCATGTACATGGGATAGCGGAAAACCTCTGTGGTAGCCCAGCTGCCTAGAATAAACGGTCCCGTCCAATGGTTTGGCAATCGAACCATTGTTTCTAAGATTGTGATCAGTCGTATCGCGTGCAGCACAACGCCCAGCACAAAATTCCCCTTCAGGTTGCCCATGAAAATCCGAACGACCTCTAGGATGCAGATTCCTTCGAGCAACATAACTGGCCGCATAAGATGCGCCACGTCCCATGACGGATAAACAGATTGCAATCCATATGTAACAAATATCCACCCGAAAAACGCAACCCAATTCAATGCCACAAATATATTGTTTGCCACTGTCGCCATTGCCGTCGTCGTCATGTTCGTGGATTTTCCCCGTATTTTCCAGTATCGATTTTGATTTCTCTAGCCCGATTCGCTGATGACTCTCGACAATGCGGTGAACGATTGGGCCTAGAGCAGAGCTAATAGTGGTTACGGGATGAGGTTCAAGATTATTAACCAACTCCTCGTGATAGGAGGAGTAATCAACACCTTCGGTGACTGGGATGGAAGTACAAGTAAAGAGCGGAATTCTATACCTACGTACTGTATCTTAACACTTGTTCAAACCGAAAATATCTTCCATTAGTTTTCAGTTTTCATCATACTGCTAGCTGTGAAGCTTCTCTGTGCGCACACGTCGCTGGTTGTAAGAAATAACGATCAGAATACGTTTTAGTTTGAGGTTTACTGCTGGGAACTGGGCAACAAAATAGAGAAAAAGGATGTACGTGCGGAACGTATGTGTGCATGTGCACAGGTACGAACTACCAAGACAAGGACGACTGTCAGCAAGCGCAAGAAAAATAATGCGCGCTCACGAAGCGTGATTTAAAAACAATTTAAAAACAAAATCAGGACATCGATCTATGGCCATGAAAAGATGAAAACAACATACAGGAAAAACCGTTTCGAGGTTTCATCAATTCTCTCTGGGACAGAGTGAAGGTTGCCCGAAGACTGCCTGCTCGCATTCATATCGACGCATCATATGCTTCATCTATTAAGTTTATTTCTTATTGAAGGCCTACCTAAATTGTAGTAATGTGGGACGATCTCTTTCGGGCTGCAGCCGGCGAGGACGACATCGCTGAACCGATGGTTCCGACGAGATTGGAAGCGCAACGGAATCCAAGAAAGCACGAGGCATCCACTAGCGCGGAACGAAATCCCAAGAGAAAGAAGAAAAGAGCGAGGCACAGGAATCGTGGGAAATCTTCGCAATCGGCCCTGGAACGAGTACTCGAGTCGCGGACCGACCCGATTGGTGAGCAGATTTGGTCCAGACTTCCTGCCTGGTTGGTGCCAGGTTCTTCCTTGCGCGGTTCTGCATATTGTGGTCAATGGGATCAAGAAGCCGATTGTTCGCTGGATGCCAAATGTAAAAAATGTAAGGAGACCCTGCTGCATCATTCTGTTGAACTTTCGTCTTCGACAGAGCAAACTAGTGCCGGGGAGGTACTAACAGCATTCTCGTTGGTGCGAGATATCAGGTGCTGTTGCTCCTGTATTCTGAACGAATCCTACGGATGTAACGACCAAAACAAGTGCATAAAATCTGAGCTCGATGTGTTTGCTATTACTGCATTGAAGAAATCGGATCATCTAGACATTGTAGTGTCGTCTGTCCTTGATCCAGGAGAAGCAGATATCCTGATTGGAAAAATTGACAACATAAAAAATGCCGCAATAAAGTTGAGCAAAAAGATGAAGCACTGGAACGTGGGGAGTCAGATAAAGAATAGCAAATTCAAGCTGAGGGGCATCTTTAATGAAGTGATAAAGCTGATAATCCATTGCGACGCGGCTTACTTTCGTTTATACTATCTTCAAAATTCKGGCAATTTACCGATCGAGAAAGAGGAAGTTTACATACCCCACCCTCCCACATATTTTGGGTCGAAGAATGTGGCTTGGAATGTTTTTGACTCTACAACAGGTCTCGCAGACACAATGAGGAAGAAATATGGCCAGATCAGTGATGAGAGATGGGATATATTGATGCAAGAGTTGGGAATATCTCGATCATCACAGGAGCTAGATCCGCTCTCGTTCATGCACAAAAATCGACTTTCAGAATCTATTTTTATATTCCACAATTCGTCTTGGATTCATTCCAAAGAAACAAAACTGCACTACACGGAGTCAATGAAACAAAGATCGAAGTTTCTAGACCGAGAAAGTGCGTTTTATTCAATACACGAAACTCCGGCGCCTGACATTGTAAAGGAATGGAGAGATTCGTGTCGCGATCTACTGTGTAATTTATACGCTTACGCAACAATTTCTCCGAGAATGATCTATGATACCAAGGGAGTTCTTCGGAAAGAGGCATTCGCATGTAAAAGCCTTATAGAAATGGGTGCTGGAACTGGCTATATTGCTAATTTGTTTGTCAAAGCGGACTTTAGTGTAAAAGCATTCGATGTCGCACCCACCAATGGAGATAATGTCCAGAACAGAAATTCCGATGTCTCTAACGAATACCATGGTTCATCACCACCTTTTTGCCGCGTAGAATACGCAGATTCAAAGAGCCTTCGATTGGATACAAAAGATACCGCACTCCTTTTGTCCTACCCGCCTCCATTGTCGACTATGGCCGAAGATTCACTAAAATCTTTTGTAAAACAGGGAGGGAGAATAATCATCCATGTTGGTGAGTTTTCTGGTCTGACAGGATCATCAAAATTCGAAAGCTTCCTGGGCCGCCGATTCGATCTGAAGTATCGAACACCATGTTTGAACTGGGGTTCGGATGCGGCGGAACTCACCATCTGGATAAAATGCGACACCGAAAAGAAGTCGTTCCCGTCTTCTCTAGTGCGATGCTCATGGTGCAAGAAACCAAGTGCAACGGCGCGATACAGATTGTGTCGCCCGCTGTCGTACTGTCAATATTCTTGCTTCCGAGCCCACCAGGAGGAGAGGGGAGTGCATTTTGCTTTTACCATGATTCCTGACGCTATCAATGCAAACGATCTGACACCTCCGGGTGCATTCGAGAGAAAACCTTATTTTGAATCGCTTCCGTGCAAATGCGACTTCTAGATAACTTTTGCAAGGGGGCATTGGTGTGTAATAAGCATTTGGTTGGAATCAGAAAAGTCGAAGACTACCGCGTGTCTGCCTCATGATATTGCTTCAAGTCTGGGAAAGCCTACATTAGTTTATAGTAGTATTCACCCTATTGTACGGTCGGAGAAATTAAAGTTTATCGTTACAAACAATGGTGAATACCATTGCGTGAGACTAGAAAGCCTTTTTCACCATTCGGGTCTCCGCATCATACATTCATGCAGCTTTTTTACCTGGCGTAGTTTTGGAGAGGGTGTGATGATTCATTATTGATGGTAAAAATACTACGAAGCCAGTTAATCGTAGTAGAGTAAAAACACCTAGAGCAACAAACACTCCGTTGATACCCCAACTTTGCGGAAAGAATTGTAAGCATCCGATATACCCAATCGACGCAACAATAAGAACAGTTGATGCTAGGGTAAACTTTCCGTCCCCTACCATGATTCCCTCGCCGACGCTGACCATACCTTGAATACCTTGAGTAACAACAACAACCAAGATGGGGAAGAATGCGGCTTCACGTACTTCGACCACGGGTGTTGACCTAAGAATGAATGGTATGAGAGCCGCTTGGATGCAACTGATAGCTGTTCCTACCCCAAATCCTCTTGTCAATAAGCGTTTGATCAAAGTTTTGACGAAGACTCTTCTCTCTTGTTCCTCACATTTTGCAACAGAGCTTGGATAGAGGGTTTGGGTAGACATTCCCAAGGCCCAGATAAGGACTCCTCCGGTGAAGAAAGTTTGCATCGCTAAAGTAAAGGCAGCTGGAGCCACCCCAGTATCGTCTAGCGACTGAATCTTTCTCGCAACCATTAGATTTATGAATTGCATGGCAAAACTTCTTGCCTGCAGAGGTGTTCCCTTCAGAATTGGAGACATCTCTTTCCATGATGGAAGTCTCAACAATTTTTTCCCGGCAAAAAAACCCTTGCTCGCCATTAGTTCCATGTACAGTATAGCAGCGATGCTATCACAAACAAACGCAGAAATAGCTGATCCTAAAATTCCAAACTTGAACGTATGAATCAATAGCGGGGTCAACACCACATTAATTGCAGCAGCGATCAAAGTGATTTTAATACAGGGGTTGAAAACTGTGGAAAACATCACGATAACCCGAGGAGCAGAAATTTCCACAAGAGATAAATTTCGTTAGAGAAGAGATACCTAATTTCAGAAATCAATGAAATAGCGCCGCGAAATGACATACCAAGCATGCCGCGAAAGGCAGAAAAACAGATATATGTTACCATTTGGGGTATAAGTGAAAGACTACGTATCCTCATGTACTTCTCGGATATAGCAAGAGCCGGACTTCCGTCTGTATACAAGCGAAAAATAAAAATTTTGTTCGATGAGTATATTCAACTCTCTTTGCCAACCTACACACTCAGATCGTCACCGGCAAATCATGCCTTACTCTTTATAACGGTACCAAGAAACCGACTTGGATTTGTAAATATCGACATCGACATGATAGAGATCGCCACCAAACCAAAATAAAACGCAGTAATGATAATATTTTCCGTCTTTTCCATGTCATTACTGGCATAACTTTTTGAAACTAAGGTGGCGGTTACACTTGGCAAAAATGAAAACAATCCGAAAGAGAATTGATACACCGTGTTGGCGGCTGATTGCGCTGATACAGACAATGCATCACCAAGCTGATTCACCCAAAAGAGGTCTATGCTTGAGACAATTGGAACAATCGAAGTGAGACCAACAAGAGGCAGCGTGTTCCCCACGATCATTTTGTCCATCGCATCTAATCGATTCCAGATTTTCTGTTGCAGTAAGTTTCTACCACCAGTCATCATCCTGGCAGAACCGACGCCATCACTAGGAATCGCCTTTAACTTCGATTCACCAGAATTGGAGTCGTTGGTTTTGAGGTCGGGCGTTTCATCGTTCGCGCTCTGGGGATCGAGTCGGATATTTCCTACCCTCCATACTTGCCGATTAGTCTGACGAGATGCGGTTTCAACTTTCCTCTTTTTCGTCGGATAGTCTAAACCGTCGACGCTGACAGAAACTCCGTTAGGATACGAACAGAGAATGCAAGCGAGATATCCCAATATGTATAATACATGGTTCTTCATTTTCCCTATCGGTACTGTTCCTCGTATCTTTCAGACAAGCAAGAGGTGCAATTCCAACCAGAAAAATATTAGACAACAGTAGCTTCGAATGATCCCTCTTTTCTATTTTGTAGTCATGGACCGTCAAATGCGTTCTTTTCTGTCGTGGTTGTGTCGAAATTGAGAAGTCGAAACGAATGTGGTTGTTATTCGAGGTGTGCTGCGGATACGAACCTCAACGAAATGCTTCAATGAGCAATGAAAGAAATAATTCGTGCTTGTAGCTTTTGTCAATTTGGTGAGGTGTTTCTCGTTCTTGCATGAGCTTATTTTTCCGAATTGACGGTTTCGAAAAGTGACGCGAAGAAAAATAAATCTTGGTGAATTAGGAATCATGAGATTCATCAGTATTGGACTGACTCGACTAGATTTTGCTGTGCAGTGTAACAGCGTTCGTGGTTTTTAAAAATGCAATTTACGAGTAGTACGTACGATACGAGAACGTCTCGTAGCGTAGTATTAGTTCTGCTCGTACGCCCAGTACGAACCCTTTAGACATTCATTCCTACCAAATTTAGGCGGACATCGGAAAAAATCGAAACCAAATCTGTTAACATCACACTCAAAGATGAAGTCGACAGAATTTGAGAGAAGAACAAACACAAGAAGCAATCCATAAATTATATGAGACCTCAACAACGGGAAATATCGCCCCGATATTGTCATCATCATGGATAGCACTTCAAAAGAGGAGTCATCTTCGACGAATGCCGAAACAACAAAAGCTTCAGGCAGTCAAAGCAACGCTCAAACGCCCACGAGCAAGCCGAAAAGTAATGTGTCAAAATCTGGTACAACCCTTGACGATGCCAACGAAGAACTCTCTCAATTGATCATATCGGGTAAGATCAAGTCCGATGATGTCCGTTGCCTTAAAGCCTCTTTGAAGGAGCATGTTTCCCTGAAAGAAAAGGTAGAGAAATTGAAATCCTTATTGGGTCGTTCTGCAAAAGCCCAACGGGAGGCAAAGGTCGATTCGGAGACTGCTCAAAAACGATTGGGACAAGCAATGAAAGAGATCGAACGACTGAATAAAAAACTAGACAAACTTCAGACTCGGCCGACTCATATGGATCTTCTCATGGATTTTGAAACAAACTTCGATAAGGCTTTGCTTAGTGTTGGACAATCGGGTGGACAAGAAACTTCCGACGCTGAGCCGACAACCCAAGCTATGGAATCATCGGATCTTGATACAATGGATGATATGTTGATGCAAGAATTGGGTGAAGCAAAAAACAGAATCGAGAAGTTGGAAACTTTGAATACTGCAATGATGTCGCGTTCATCTCAGTTGGAAGAAAGTGCCAAAGTGTTGCAAAAGGAACGTGACGAGGCTCGAAATTCGAGCAAGCGACTGCAAATGGAACTTCGAATGGCAAATCTGGAAGCAGAACAAGCTAATCGGGCCATGATAGATAAGGTAGCATCTCTAGAAGAAATGCAAATGGAGATCGACTTGGTAACAAAAGCAAACGCGAAGGCAAACGTAAGAGCTGCGAAGGGGGAAGAGGCCGCCAACTCACTTAAGTCAGACAAAAATCACATTCAACAACTTGAATCTCAGGTACAAGCCTTGAAAGAATGGGCCCTGGCGAGCGCCGAAGCGAAACAACTTATGCATGAACGCTGCAGAATTCTTGAAGGGAAATTAAAACTACAACAAGGAAAAAATGTTGGGAATGAGAAAAGCAACGCTGAAAAACTCTTGTTTACAAAAACAGGCTCAATGGTCATCGGCGCTGGTGCCAACCACCCTGTTCATCTTTCGCTTGGGGAGCACGCCACGACTGTGGATTCCCGTTTTGTCATTCTACGATGGAAATTTGATTCCTCGCCTTCGGATATGACCGTCGACTTCAATATAATGAAAGGCACGTGTACAACGTCGTCGGAATATGCAAAGGCAGATTATCTTATCAAAGGTAGAATGATTCAGGGAGGAGCTGGCGGCGAAACTGAAGGCGCTTTTAACACTGATTCGGCGTGTACTATTCTATGGTCGAATGCAAAATCCTGGATTCGACCGGTGACGGTAAAATATTCGATTGGTGTTGTTGCTCTCAAGTAGCGCAATTTGTAAAGACAAAGTTTTTGAAATTGAAACTTTGATTAACTCGTTGACAATTTTTAGTATTATCACTACAACATAATTTTGAACTTTAATTGAGTCGATGGATTACTCCATCTCGCCTCTGGCAGCCTTCGATCGATCCTTTGTCCAGGAAGTACCTCCGACCGAACTGATGCAAGGAGCTTGGCCAATGTATGGAAAGTCTTCTACACGGACGGCGTCCAAGCAAAATTGGGCAACATCAGCGCGGGGAATCGATCCAGCTTCGCCGTCGATAACATTGATGACACCCGTAGGTGCGTCCACTGTCAAGCCTCCGGGACGGACAATGCAGTATTCGAGGCCGGAATTCATGGTTGCTGCCTCCTGATTATTTTTGTCCAAAAAGATCTTCTTCATAGCAGTCCACATCAAGACTTTGAAGAAAAATGGTGCCTGATTCTCGGAGTCTCCGGCGCCGATACTTGTCACCACGGCAACTCTCTTGACACCCTTTTCCTTCATAGCAGCGATAATGTTATTCGTTCCATCCGTAAGCATGGTTTCACCAACCTCGGATGTCTTTCCACCAAGAGCTACGATGACACCGTCCACATCGCCTTCGAAAACCTTGTCGACGTCACTTTTCTTGGTGACATCCCCAGCAATCATTGTCAGATTCTCGTTCGTCAGTGGATTGCCAGCGCTATCTCCTCCGCTGCCTGCGGGAACCTTTAGGTTTGAGGGGTTTCGTGTCAAACCGATAACTTTGTCGCCTTCGTTAAGAGCTTGAAAGACTGCTTCGGATCCGGTCAACCCGGATGCACCAAAGACGGCAATGGTTTTCATGCAAAGAGCAGTTTCACTTGCTCGAGCACACAGATTGTCGGCCATCAATTGCCCACGACCGGCACCAATGAAAGTGGATCGTTGGAATGCATCGGTGGTCGATAGACCTGCAAGTGCAGCGAAAGGTAGGAAGGAAAACTTCATTTTGCTTCGAGATGACTGGGTTGAGTTGTGAAACGAGAATTGTGAAAGTTGCAGTTCTCGAAACTGACATCGCAAGCTATGAATCGTATTGGTTCATCTGTTCAGCTGGAACGAAAAAAACGACGCAACAGGGCGAGTCAGTTTGGTACCAGCCATTAGTGTACTGTAAACTGCCGTACAGTAGACAGGAGACAAGAAAAGATCTTTTTCATAGAGCAAACAAGGTACGGTACTTGGGTACCGTATGGTGTACCGATAGGAGTCAGCCATCAGTCATCACTCATCACTCACATCAAATAAGTTCCATACGGTACCTGGTACGTACCGGCACGTACCGTACGTACGGACCACTTACACGGAACAATTCATACTCGTACGAACCGGTACCGTATGCAATACAGTATGCAATTACTGTACTGTGTAGTGTTATGAAGTACGGTACATTCAGTTATGGACTATGATTACAGTGTGGATACTATCAAAAGTTCGAATCCAGTTGCGAAGTACTGTGGCGTACGTAGGACGGAGCAGAACTTGTTATTTTACGAGAAGTCAATTAGACCTTTTGAGTGAAGATTCCCGAGTCATAAGCAATGGAAAGATGTTTGATTCATTCGATTCCAAATTTCAGCCAATATGCTTTCGAAAACTCGTCTACGTGGAAGGCCCGCAGGAACGTATTATTATTTCAAGGAAAAAATAGTAATCTGTGGTACGAACTAGTCTTACAGGTACGTTTATGATAGCCATGGAAAACAAGAGAAAAGTCGATTTCCGTAGTCGTACTGTACTGCATGCAATGGTTCATTATCATCATCATCATTTCAGCTATCATCTCTCCCCTTCAAAAATTCAAGTTGAGGTTCATCCCGAAAAACTTGTTCCACATTGAGAGATATTTGAGAGGGACTTTATCCGAACATGAAAGGTGCCTTTTGGAATGGTAAAAGGACCGGACTGGCCCTGGTTTTGGCTCTGGGTGTTTTGTCGGTGTCGTGCAGTAGCGCGTCTCCGGCCACTGCCGCTATGTTTGGTGTGGTTTCTCCGAAAGAAATTTCCAACCACGCTCTATTTGACATCAGAGGAGGGGCCAAAAAGAAGAAGTCGAGAACGGGGTCGCTGTCAAAGACGGTCACGGGAAAGAAAAAAGTTGGGGCAAAGAAGGCAACTGAAAAAAAGTCCGAGTCGGTCAATAATGCTCTTGGCGACTGGTACAAAGGGATTCCTCGCTTCACAAAACTTTACGTAAACATGATTTTTCTGTGCACTTTTGTGGGCCTCATACTCGGAGAAGAAAGATCCCAGGCCATTCTCGCGCTTGATCCAATGAGATTGATGTATGGCTTGGAACTCTGGAGACCGTTTACTGCAGCATCCTTCTTGGGGAAACCGTCGATATCATGGCTCATGAGTGGCTATTATCTTTACGAATATGGAGCCAGCCTGGAAAAAGCATATGGTCCCGCTGAGTACATTGTGTTTTTGCTCACTCAGATTTCCCTCCTGACTGTTTTCTCGGCCATGTTGGGAATTCCATTCTTCACGCAATCTGTCATCACCGGAATGCTTCATGTCCTAAGCCGGGCCATGCCCCACCAAAAGGTGAAGTGGCTCGTCATCACCGTGCCTTACTGGACTCTCCCATACGGACTGATGGTGAGCGACGTTCTTCAGTCTCAGGGATCGATATCAGCAGCGGTTCCTCATATTTTGGGAATTTTGGTTGGTCACTTCTACCAATTCAACCGATTCGTCTGGCCAAAAACTGGAGGTGAAGATTGGCTCCGAGCCCCTGACTTTTTGGTGGACAAACTCGATCCAGACGCAGCGGTAAAGAATGCCGCGAAAGAATCCATCAACAAGGCCCTCTCGAAACGAAAGCGTGGAAAGGGCAAGAAGCTGGGTTCGGCTTCTGCATAGAACCGTGGTGCGAGTAGATACGGCTTTCGGTAGAATTAATTTACATATCTTTATTTATTTTGATCCGTAGCGTTTATTTTATGGAATAATCAGAATTCGAGTCCTGGAGAAGGAAACTTCTTGACCTTTATCCTCAGTGAGAGCATTACGCTGGACTCTCGTCCCTTATCTGTCAGCATCATGTCTTCAAACGATAGAAAAGTACCATCCAACTCAAAGACCATGTCGTTGAAAAATTTGGAAGTAGTCAAAGCAAGTGATTTTTCCATGGCATCGACGTCAACATCCCTTTCATCTGTTCCCCTGGATTCGACAAGAGTAGCATCTATCTTCGCTTTTTCCGCACCTCGTGTGTTTCTTTGCAGCTCAAATTTCCATTCTGAACCAGCATAAGTCCCGTAAAATATTATCAGCCCCGTTGAAGGGTTGATAGAGACGTTTTCTTTTTGAAATACTAGTCTACTATTGCTTCTGTCGCTGTTCACGGGTGGACTCGGTGGTTTCATTAATGGGTGCGTAATGAAGTTACCGAAGTCTGTAGCGGAGAGAGCAACCATGGCTTGTCCCTCCGCTGCTTTGTTTGAAAATGTGTTGTGCAATGTACATATAAAGAGCGAAAAATGTATTAGCTTGTATTCTCGTCTACATAGAGTATGACTCATGTAGCGTGGCAAAACAAAACAATCCAACTGTAGCAGGAACCATAATTTCGAAACGGAACGCACCTGGGGTGGTTAACACCAGCTTTTGATTCGTGACTACCCTCCCCATATCAAGGGTGCATTCATTCACGGTTGCTTCGATTGCTCTGCAGGTCAGGCCAAGGGGACTCTGCCACCCGCGCCCCCTGACTGTTACGGGACCAACCCGACCAAACAACAGATTGTTTGATTCTGCCGTCAAATCACAGGAGACGTGCGTCTGATCCACCAGCCTTTTTTTCAGTGCCATGCATGCCAATGTCGATATCAGTGTCGAAGTAACACTGGATGACGAGGACGAGGGTACTCTATTAGTGGTGGCAGTGCCGCTCGAAAAGGGTATCTTTTGTTGCAGGGTTTTTCCGCGCGAATTCTTTAGAGGAGTCCTCGAGGCTACCATAGATAGCTGCAAACCAAATGTTTCGTGGATCGATGCAATCGATGCGATGAGAAGACAGACGACATAGATGGAATTCATTGTTTCGGTTATGGTAATCCCGTTCGTTTTGGTCAGACTCCGAATCTCCGAAATGCTGCGTATTGTTAACTGTTGTTCCGTTTCGTAACGTTCTTCACACGAATTTATGATCTATTTTAAGAAGACTTGATTGTGATTGTACAAAAGAAAGATTTACTGGCAGGATCAGATAAGAAAGATTACCAGAATCTTAGACCTTGGTGTTCTTTACTTCGATGTTCTCGAGCTGAAGGAGAAGAAGATGGACAAGTGTTTATGAATGCGAAAAGCGTTCTCGTATGATTCCAGAACTCGTGCCTCCTGCCGCGACAAAACTAATTTTTATCAGTGAGTTCTACTATCAGATGCTACGTTACAACTGTTGGACCACGAGTACGCACCAAAATCGCTGACTATCATTCTCGTCTGATTCATGCGTCGGTTGTTTTCGGTAAATAGGGCCATCAGAGAACAGTCGGGTGACCCATCAAAAATTCCTTCTTCAACCCGTGGGATATGCATTTGATTCGGGGGCATTCTATTTTTTGTTCTTGTCGCACCATAATTTGTACGACGCATTACGTAAGTTGTATTTTTATTGATTCGGGGTGTTTCATCAAATTTCGGTTCTTGAGAACATTTAGGGGGAGAAGGAGTTCTCCTAACCCCAATCTGCCCTGTAAAATCTTTTGTTCCGATGGCCCGACCGAGGAACAAATTACACATCAAGAAACGATCACTATCGAAGAAGAATAGTGAAGTAGTACAGGTACTACCAAAAAATACAGTAGGAACACGTACTGAATTATTCTTCTGAACGAAAAATACCGCATGGATCTGAAACATGCTCCATTATTTCGTGCAGCGAAACCCTGGCTGTTTTTATTCCTTTGCTGTCCCTTGGAAAAGTGACTAATCACGAAGGTATTCGTAGCGGATAACAATTCATGCCGACAAGGAATCTTGGTTTGTTTCAAGGCATCTCTCGCAGAAACTTTGATTCAAGTCGTTCCCCAAGAAGAAATTTCATATTTTCCATCGGTCTATCATCTAACATATTAGTTTAGACCAACCAATCCGACCAGATCTACCATGACGCCGCTCTCAAAAGAGGGAAGCGAAGCCCCCGACTTGCCGTTACATGCCGATGAAAAATCGGCTTCGACCCCCAGTCCCAGCGCCGAACGCCTCATACGTGTACTAGAACCAGAGAAACAGGTACGTTTTGTAGAAACCATTGCGGTGCACGGCCATTTTTCTCTGACGGCAATCGCCAATAAAAATAGATTCTTGCAACTACAACTGGGCACGGTTACGAAAGCAACGAGGCAGCCTCGATTGCAAACAAGATCCTAATTGATTTCCGTCATATACTTTCTCATTTTGTCGTGACAACGTATAAAAAGGATGGCAGTACGGAATACAAGCGACAGCTCCTACACTGCTCTCCCACTCGGCTCGAAAAACTGAAGACCCAAATGTCTTTCCGTCTAGATGAGGGAAATGGCATATGTCATTATCAGATCGGGGTGGAGGACAACGGATGTCATTCTTTGATAGATTACCATGCGTGCGCTGAGACGGCTAAATTGTTGGAACACCTGGCACGCAGTCTCAACGCGGTTGTTTTGGAACGGAAAATGATCCAGAACGAAGTCTCGCCATCAGTAGATCACATCTCTTTTGAAAGAATGAAAGATGCAGGTATCATCGAAGTTCTGGAAGATTCGTTGCTTGGAGACGGAACGGAACAATTGTTTGAGGATCAGCAGATGGCCGAAGACCATTCTCGAGAACCCCAGGAAAACCAACCCATCTTAAACAAGGCAAAAGGTGCTCTGACCAGATGCGAGTTGACCATTCAGAGAGTTGAGACTCATTTATTAGACCCATCACCGGTTTCGAAGGCCCAAAATAAGAAAAATCAGGCAAATGAAAAGTCAACACCGGAAGAGGAGAACTTATCGGTCAATGAAACTCTTTCAAGTCGAAATGTTCGGATCGCAGTTGTTGGTAACGTGGATGCAGGCAAGAGTACTATGATTGGAACGCTGACATCGTCTTTACTAGATGATGGTCGTGGGAGTAGCCGCACATCGATCATGAAACATCGCCACGAAATTGAGAGTGGGCGAACATCTACAGCTTCTACCCATTTGATGGGGTTTAGATCAACTGGAGAAGCAGTCGCCGGAAGAGATTCAGTGAGGGCAACTCGACGAAAGAGCGAGGATGAAGTCGCAAGGGAATCCTACCGCGTCGTAACTCTGATGGATTTAGCGGGTCACGAAAAGTATCTAAAAACTACGTAAGTAAGGCAATATACCCGAGAGACATTCGCAACCTCTCGAATCTTTTATTCCACAAGATACTGACAGAAGTTTTTCTTTGAATTCACATAGCATTCATGGTGTAGCATCTGGAATGGCAGATTATGCTCTCATTCTGGTCAATAGTCGGCATCCACCTACACACATGACACACCACCATCTCAATTTATGTGTGAGCTTTGGGATCCATGTTATCATTGTTTTCACCAAAGTTGATGGCTGTCCAGAACACGCCTTCAAAACTTCTAAAGCAGAGGTTTCAAAACTATTGAAACGCCCTGACATCAATAAGCGCCCGTTCGATATTCGGAGCGAGGAAGATATTGCGACTTGCATGGGAAAACTTGGAACCTTAGCACCAATGATTTCTACATCGTGTGTAACTGGGGAAGGCATCGACCTGTTGAAAAAAATGTTGTTTGAGCTCCCGAAGCGTCGACGGCATGAGAAAAAGCAGAATCGTCCATTTGAGTTTCTTGTCGAAGACATCTTTAATGTTCCTGGGGTAGGGAGCGTGGTGTCCGGATTTGTAAATGCTGGGCAACTTACTACTGGTTCCAATGCTCATGTTTATGTCGGACCTACAGATGATGGCTCATTTATGAAGACCATTGCGAAATCAGCCCAGATTGCTAGAATTAATACCACGCATGTGACGTCAGGACAATCTGCATGTCTTGCACTTGCACTAAGCAAAGATATGAGAAAAAAACTTAGACGTGGCATGGTAGTGCTGAAGGAAGCTCCAACGTCTACGAGAGAGTTTGAAGCAGAGATTTGCGTTTTGAAGGGAGAAGGTACAACTATCAGAAGGTCATACCAGGCTTTCGTTCATATTTTAAATGTTCGGCAGAGTGCTTATGCAAAGAAGATTGAAATTGTTAATACTAACGCAATGGGGCTAGCATCTACACATACGGCATTGTATGGAGAGGAGAACGAGATAGTTTTAAGACCGGGGTGTAGGGCAAAAGTCCGATTTCAATTTGCACGACGACCTGTAAGTTTGAGCTTCCTGAACTGATTGGGAGTAAATGCATGTCAATTGTTTTCTGACATTTAATTCTGCTCTGAAAATGGACTACAGGAATATGTCCGACCTGGAATGAGGATGTTGTTCCGAGATGGTCGAGTTCGCGGGGTCGGACTTGTCACCAGTATTCCAACTCTTCAGCCTGCTCATTAATACGTATCATTTTTTGTGTCTACTATGTCATAATTTTTAAAGATAAATTTGGTTGTTCTGTTTGGTAAACTTTCTACTAGTACCTTTGATTAAGAAGTTTCATAAATTGATACGGTAAAGATTACTGATCTTATTTGAATAATACTTCCTCCATTCCTAAATCAGTGTACCTATGACCCTTTTGCTGTTCTGGGATGAGTGTCCTAAAGTTATTAACACTCATAAACTGTTTTATTTAACCCCCAATAAAAAAAAATTAAATATGAATGTGCACAAGACGTAGAATCGGTGCCATAGAAAAAATGAACATACAAGAAATTTCTTTTCAAGGTTTCTAACCTTGTTTTTGGTGTTCCATTGCAACTTCACTTTTGTTCTGGTGGAGAGTTAGTACTTTTCCTCCAAATTTGTTAAGGGTTTAAGAATTTCAATACTATTCTGAAACAATAGGGCCTGGGGATGCAACAAAGAATGAAACTACTAAGTTGGTATGTGAAATGCTGTTAAATTGTGTGTAATATAAATATGAAATTGATATAGTTCTAAGTACTTATGAATATTCATTGAAAGGAATCCTAGTAGTAGTAGTATTCTTAGACTACTACTACTACATACTACTACTACTAGTAGTAATAGGAGTAGTCATCAGCAGTAATTACTTTTGTTCATACCATAGAGTTATGTTGGCTAGTAAGAAGAATAAACTTCTAGTACTACTACTAGTACTTCAAACATTAGTAGCTCTGAATTTTGATGCTTTTGGTGATATAAAATATTAGTGAACCACCAACAAGATTCATTGCTAGTACTACTAAAACTTTTCTTTCTAACAAATACTACCAAAAGCTGACTCATCAGCAATAAAACCAATTCTTCCGCTTTGGTGTGGTATTGAAAACTGAGAAAGAACAAGACAGTGACAAGTTTTTTTAGTAAAAAGGAGGCAATCAATTGCATTGAATATCATCTGTACTTCAGGAGGGATATTAATGTACTTCTACTACTTCTAGTTACTACTACTAGCACTACTAGTAATGTCCCTCACTCTGTCTTGTTCTTACAGCTACAAGTACTAGTAGTACCACTACTAGTAGTACTAGTACTATATTCTTCTTCTTGCTGCTCCTGCATGAAGAAACAGCACATCCTCCTCCTCACACCACCACCACCAGCAGCAGAAGAAGAACAAGAACAAGAAGGCAACAACAACAACAAGAACAACAAAAATGTAGGTGCTGTTAGTATTATTACTACTAGTAGTAGTAGTAGTAGTAGTAGTAGTAGTAG